CGCCCCTGGGCTCTGCTTGACAGATGAGGAAACTGAGGCAGGGCCGGCGCGGGCGGCGTGGTGCAGGGAGCCGGGGGGCGCCGACGAGGGGGCCGCGCTGGACCTGCCTTGGGTCCGTCCTCCTGGCCAGCCCCGGCCCTTCCTCCCCTGTCGGCCGTCTCCTCTCCCCACTAGATCTAAGCTCCTCGAGGCCAGCCATGGGGCTGGAGAGAGCCGGATGCCAGCGGCCAGAGCGGAGCCAGGTCTGGAACCCAGGCTGGACCTAGAACCCTGAAGCTGGCCCAGCACGGGGTGACACTGGCCGTCTCTCTTCCAGGTACATCACCTGCGCCGAGTACACGCACTTCTATGGGGGCAAGAAGCCGGGTGAGTACGCGGAAAGCCTTCGGTCCTGGGGCTGGGGCCTGGGGTCTTCCTTCCTGGTGGTCTCTGGAGCCTCGGGCTAGTCATGGGTCAGGCTGGAGGGTGAGCCCCCCGCCCCATCCCTCCTGTCCAGCCCCTCTTCCTCAGGCAGCTCTTGTGTAGGGCACTCTGTTAAGCTCTGGGAATATAGACACAGGCAGAAGGACAGCGGCTGCGCTCAAGGAGCTTACCTTCTAACGAGGAAGACCCAACATAAAAGGGGCCGGTGGGGAGGAGTTCAGCCTAGGCTGCCTCCTCAGATAGAGGGGGGTGGAGCCCCCCCCGGCCTCCTCAGGGGCACAGGCTACTTCCAGGTGGGTTCCAGGGTGCAGAGGAGGGCAGCATGATGGGAAAAGAAGGTCAGGTCCTCACCACCGGCTGCCTGGACCGTAACTGTAGCCTTTCGGCCTCTGGGCTTTCTTCGGTTCACGTTCACACAGTTGGCCTAGGTAATCTTCCTTAATGGGGGCAGCTAGGTGGCGCAGTGGATAGAACACCAGCCCTGGAGTCAGGAGGACCTGAGTTCAAATCCAACCCCAGACACTTACTAGCTAGCTATGTGACCCGGGGCAAGTCACTTAACCCCCATTGCCTCCAAAACAGAAAGAAAAAAAGTCTTCCTTAAGCTTGGTTCTGACTGTGGCACTCCCTCCTCAGTAATATGCAGGGGCTCCCTATTGCCTCTGGGATCAAGTATAAACTCCCCTGTTGTGCTTTTACAGCCCATTACGAGCTGGTCCCTGACCACCTTTCCTGCCTCATCGTACGTCCTTTCCCTTCTGCAGTTCTGCTGGCCAACTGGACTGGCCTTTGTGTGGTTTAGCCCACCTCTGTGACTTTGCACTGGCTGTCCTCGTTGCCTGGGATGCTTCTCCTTACCCTCAGAATCCTCCCCTTCCTTCCTTCCCACCCTCTCTCCCAAACAATTGCTATTTATTTTGTATTTCTTCTGTCTGTGCTTAGACAGGTGCACCTTGTCTCCTCCGAAAAAAGTACACACCTTGAGGACCAGGGACTAGTCCATCACATAGTTGGTGCTTAATAAATGCTTGCTGAGTGCTGAGGTTGAAAGGTTAAGTCACTTGCCCAGAGTCTCATAAGTAGGAAGCTCTCCTGGGCCCTTCCAACCCTCACCCCCAGCCTTTGTCTAGACAGGGTGAGGCCTGGTCAGGGCAGGCCAGCTTCTGTTTTGTCTGTTTCCACTGTGCCTTGTATACAGTAGGTGCTTAATTCATGCCTGAGGCATCCAGTTGTTCTCAAGTCTAAGGAAGGATCTTAGATATGGGCTGGCAGCAACCACTGGCTATCTAGACCAACCCCTCATTTTACAGAGGGAGAAACAGGCCCAGACAGGGGAAGGGGCTTGTCTGAAGCCACACAGGTGGTGAACAGCAGGGCCAGGATTCCAGGGAGACCCTTCTGGCTTGTGTGGTGAGGAAATGTCAAGTGGAGTCTAGAACAGCCCTCGGATGTTGGGGAAAGGCCATCCTGCTTGGGCTGGCTGTTGGACAGACTGAGACCTGAGGTCAGGCCTGAACCCAGGATGCTGTGAAAATTGGGCTCTGGGGGTCTGGGGGCTCACTGAGCGGGAGATGGATTGAGCTCTCTGCGTCTCCGTCTCTCCCTTTCTGTCTCCTCTCCTCTTCTCTTCTCTCTCCTCCTCCTCCTTTTTCTTCTCTCTCTCTCTTCCTCCCTCCCTCCCCTATTTTCTCTCTCTTCCCTCCCCCCTCTTCTCTCTTTCCTTTCTCTCTTTCCCTCTCTCTCTCTCTCCCTCTCCTCTCTCTCTCTCTCCCTCCCTCTCTCTGCCCCCCCTTCCACTGAGGGCAGTAGCATTTTGGGGAGATGTCCTGCTAGGAGCCCCTACGTGGGCTTTTACTTCCAGCATTAAATTCTCTCCACAACCAGTATGTGATTCAGACTCCTATTTCATTTTACACAGATCTCCCACAAGCAAATTTTCGTCGCTTACCTTTTGATCACTGCAGGTAAGATCTTCGCTGTGCCTGGATTGGCTGCTGAGTGGCCCTGTCAGAGCTGCTTTTCTGCTCCAGGTCTCTCCACATAAGACCTCGGTCCCAGCCACCACGTCAGTGACTGCTCATTCAGCATCAGTGTTCCCGACCCTCAAGGGTTCCAGGACATGATCTGGGCCCTCGGGAGTTTAGAGGCTGCTGGGTGGGAGGACGGTAACACAGGGAAGGGCCGCAGGAAAAGGCACTTACTGAGGCCGTGCCGGCTCTCTGCCGGGCACCGGGCTGAATGCTGGGGCCGCAGAGGCAAGAGCAATCCCGTCGCTGCTCTCTGGATGCTCTCCTCTTCATGGGGGCTGCCTCCCATCCAGGGCAGGGGTCCCAGCTGAGAGGAACAGGAGGGCAGCCCACTGACCCAGCATCTCTGGCAGCAAGGGCGGCAGGGATCTCCTCAGACTCCTTGGAACAGGAGGTAGAAGGGTGGTGGGAAAGTTGTGAAAAAAGGAAGAAAGATAGGTGGCCTGGGACCGTGTTGTGGAGGGCCTTGAATGTCAAACTGAGGAGAAAGCGGTGCTGCTGAAGGGCTCTGAGTGGAAGAGCCCATTGAGGGGAATGGCGCCTTAGAAGGGTCTCATCGTGGCTGCAGGATGTGGGGGACAAGGAGCTCTGGGGCAGAGACGGCAGTGGAGGGGAGAGGCCGTGAAGGGCCTGCCCGGGGCCCAGAGGAGATGAGGGCAGGGTCAGAGAGGCCTCCTGCTCTTCCGCTTACAGATGGGAGACCGAGGCCCAGGGAAGTTTCATGCCCTGTCCTAGGGTTATGCAGGCAGTAAGCATTGAAGGCGGAATTTGAAGCCAGATCCTGTAATGCCACAGCTCAGGCTCCTTCTGCTGTGCCAGGCTGGCCCCTACTTGACGGCTCATTGGATAGACAGGGCGAGGGGAGAGGGAGCCTGGGGCTGGCCCGGGCGTGCAGTGGTGCCATCGGCTGGCATCGGGAAGCATAGAGGAGGAGCGGGGGTGGAGCGCCATGGTGGGCACGGGGCCGGCCGCCAGCCACCGGAGGAGCTGCTGGCTCAGCCCCTGCCCCCCACTGACCGAAATGTGTTTGTGTGTCTCAGCCTGTCGCTGCAGCCCTTTGAGTACCCGGTGTGCACCCCCGACGGAGTCGTCTTTGACTTACTGTAAGTGAGAACCTTGGTGAGGCCAGTGAAATGGCCTTGGTCATCCGTGGTAGACCCCGGGGCCGTGGGCCTCTGGTGGCAGCAGCCACAGCTCAGCGTAGGTTTGGCCCCCTGGAGGTTCCCGGGGGCCTCTGGCGCCTTAGCCCCAGTGGGGGCGGCAAGCACGGGGTCCTTTGGTGGCACTTCCCAAGCACTTTGAAGGTTGTGGAGGCAAAGCCAGCTTTTTAATCTAATTATAAACCTAGTGGGCTCCTTGACAAACAAGGTGAGCTGGCCCTAAATCAAACCGTGAAATCTCAGCGGTTTACGTTTTGACTCAGCCACACGAGGATGGCAGCGGTGTGGCCGCCTCACTCTGGGCATTGGGATTGGGGTTCAGAACTGGGCTCTGATGAGCCAGGGTGCTAGGAGATCCGCGATGGTGACAGCAGATCATTGTGGCTGTTCTCATCCTTAGCACCGGCGCCCTCCCCAGGCTCGCCCCGGCTCACATCGGAGTGCCCCAAGCCTAGGCACTAGCCCAGTGGCACAGCTGAGGCGCTTAATAAGTGCTTATGGCCTGACACAGTGCTAGGCTGAAGAAACTGAGGCCCAGAGAACTTGAGCCAACCCAATCTTAGTCCTGAGAGCCTATGGCCTCCCCTCTCTTGTGGACTGAGAGCGTGGGGGCTGGCTGACACTCAGGCCCGTTCCTGGGAGGGATTTCGAGCAGGGAACCCTTCCTGCGTGTCTGAGCAGCAGGACGGGCCACATTAGGTCATAAAGGTTCGCCCGAGGAGAGGCCGGCCCGTGGGCCTGGGGAGAATGGGGACGGTGCTGGGGGTGAGCCTGGGGCCAGAGAAAGGGCGCAGGTGCCCTGCCGTCTGAGAGCCAGAGAGACAGGGTTGGGGACGGACCTGAGGGCCACCGCACTGAAGGGCTTTTCTTTTTCCTCATCTCCTTTCAGGAATATTGTGCCTTGGATAAAGAAGTACGGGACCAACCCCAGCAGCGGAGAGGTAGGCGGGGGCCCGTGCCGATGGTACTGACCCGGGGGTCCTCTCAGCGAAGGGCCCCTTCACCCCCCGGGCTAGCTTGGGGCTGCTTTGAGGCTTGCCGGGGCCAGCCGATGTGCCCGGGGAGGGCCTGAGGTGGGACTGGAGGCTGTTCTCTCTCCTGGTTCCCTTCCTCTGAACCCTCTCCAGCATGTTCCTCAGCAGGCCAGGGCCAAAGCGTCTGGGTCCTGGGGCCTCACCAGTCTTCCCTCTTTGTATTTATGGGCTCTGCCCTCTGCTGCCCAACCCACTCGCTGCCTCCCTAGACATCCCAGGGCCTTAATGAAGTAAAGATGAAAGTGTTCCTCCCTCCCCACTCTCCTTTTCCTTCTTCCCTGAGGTGGTTACTGTTAGACCAGGGCCAGTCTCCTGAGTGTTCTTGTCCCTGCTGGCTGCTCCATCTGGGGCCCGGCTAAGTCACAGGATTGGAGCCCATTGAATCAGCTAGCAGGGGCCCCAGAGACCACTGAGGGAGGCCCAGAGAAGTGGGTGGTGGGCCTGAGGCCCCATAAGGCATGATCAGCAGAGGCAGAGGCAGAGGCGAGGTTCAAGACCCCAGTCCAGTCCCCTTTCCACTCTACCCCACTGCCTTCTCCAGCCTCAGCGTCCCTGTCTGTGAAATGGGGTAGGACAGGGTGCTCTCTAAGGCCCCTTCTAGCGTGGGCATTCCGTGATCCTTTGAGGCCCCCATATGACAAGAACAGTGTTTGGGCCTGGCATGGGCAGCGCTGGTCTTTGAACTTCAGAATAGGGAGGTGCTCCAGGCACAGAATGGGGGTCCCCCAGGCTTTGCGCTTCGAGCTCTGACACCCCTCAGTTGGAGGCTGGCTGAGGATGCCGTGTGTCGCTGGCCCACGTCTTCCCCCTCCCTGCATCTTTCATTCCTACTGTAGCCAGAGAAGAATTAATTACAAGAGGTGACTTTAATTACTAATTAGAAGCCTCAGGGGCAGTTAGGCCCTTCACAAACTGTGAGTGTTTCTTTAGCTTCTGGGGAATTAAAATATTTTAAAGTTAAAATGTCTTCTGGGTAGAGGGAGCTTCGGTGATGGAAATGCCTTGGTGTGGCGTTTGAGCCCACTCTCTTGACGTACTGTGTCCCCAGGACCTCTCCTCAAGGCTGCTGCTTATCCACCATAAAGTGAGGGCGTCAGACTGGGGAGCACCTGGCAGGGCCTTCCCAACACTCACTGGACCCTTCGCCGAAAGGGTCCTGAACGATGGCTGGTCTAGTCTGGCCACGTGGACAGATGAGAAAACAGGCCAGTCAGTGAGTCTGGGGCAGAGCCAAAGTCAGAGCCCAGGACTGCGGCCTAGAAGAGGGTGGAGGTTGCTGGGCCAGGCCCCTCCTTTTGGGAAATGAGGAAACTGAGGCTTGGAGAGGCCAGCAGCTAGTAAGCATTTGAACCCGGGGCTTCTTGGCCCCAGGCTCCTCATTCTGACCCCTGATCTCCTCACCGGTGCTGGGGAGCCCCCCCGCCATCATTTTTAATCATCTCAGAAAGGCATAAACATGGAAGCTGGATGGAAAGAGTGACCTGTGAGTGGATGACCCTGCAGGCTCAGGCCCCAGAATGGTGCCTCGCAGTGGGTGTCACCTTTGGTGCTCTCCTTGATGTGGGCAGGCCCTTCGTGGGTACAGGTTGCAGCTCACCTGCGCCTTCTTGTCTGTGCCGTCCCTCAGCTCCTCCCCAGTGCCTTCTCCTGGGCAGTGGAGGCTCCATCTGTTGTCTCAGTCCGGCCGTGGGGTCAGCCTGCCTTCTTCTCCATTCATGCCTGTGGGCAGTAGCCCCACACTGGCGTCCTCGATTGGCTGCCCCCGTCCAGTGACTGGCACAGGGACCCTGTAGCTGCCGCCCTGGGGAGGGAGGAGGGGGCCAGGCCAGGAGGGAGGGGCGAGGGGCGGGAGAAGACCTGCACTTCAGGAAGTCACTTGGGGGTTTTTTAATTGTTTAGAAAGCATTTATCTGTTCTCCCTCCTGTCTCCTCTGGGGGGAAAAGCCAGACCCAAATCATCATCCTTGTAAGATATAGGACTAGGCCAGCGTGGCCAGACTGCCTCCTGCCCAGTGATCAGGCTGCCCTCTCTCTGTCTCTGCCCTCTGCCCAGCCTCGCAGGCTGCTCAGGACCCAGCTGCAGAATCCCCGCAGGAGCCTTGTTCTTGGCCACAGCAGTAGCCTGATTTAGCTGGTGTGCGCCCCCTCGGTGGCTGAGCTGGAACTGGGGCTCCCAGGCTGTTCCCCTTCCCTATTGCTGCTGGGTCAAGGAAATCAGCATTAGTTAAGCAGGCAGCTTGGGGGAGCAGTGGTCAGAGCCCCCAGCCTGGAGTCAGGGAGCGCTGAGATCAAACCTAGCTTCGGACACTTTCGAGTGGTGTGACCCTGGGCAAGTCACTTTACCTCTGCCTCGTTTTCTTCATCTGTAAAATGGAGATAATAATAGTACCTACCTCCCACAGTTGATATGAGGATCAAATAAGACAGTAATTGTAAAATGCTTAACACAGTGCTAGGCACATCTTAGGTGCATCATAGGTAGGTAAGCCTACCTCCTCTGTGCTAAGCATGACACGAAATGCTGGAGGTATCAGGACAAAAAGTGAAAGTCCTTGGGGGACATACTATGTACGTGAATAATCCCATTCAAAGTTTCTACTGAGTAACCAGAAAATAGATGTGCTTTGAGGAGAGGCCTGCAGAGGTTCCCAAAGGTGAGCATTCTGGGAGTCCTGAGGGGGGCAGAGCCTTTGTAAAGGCTTGGAGGTGGGGTGGGAGGTGAAGATTTAATGGTGTGTATTTGAAGGTGATTGTAGGACTGAGGCCCGTACTTAGTTTTGTCCCTGAATAATCCTTTCTCATGTATATTTGATAGAATTTGAAATTCAGTAACTTTTTCATTTCAAATACCTTTGCTTGGTCTTTCAGAAGCTGGATGCCAAGTCTCTGATCAAGCTGAACTTCACAAAGAATAATGAAGGTGGGTGGCCGGCTTTCTGGGTCATTCCGCTAGCCCTGGTTAAGCTTCCACTGTGTGCTAGGCACAGGAGACTGGAAGAGGAAGGTGACCTGGCCCTTGCACTCCAGGAGAGCCCAGTCTGGGAGGAGAGAGAAGTCGTGGGCAGCAGCCCCAGGGTGACTCCAAACAGAGCGATTGAGGTCTGAGAAGAGACGCGATATAGGGACTGTTTGATGGAAGAGCAGAGCCTGCAAGGAAGGGGGATTCTAATAGGAGAAAGTGATGATGGGCCATTCTGAGCCTGGAGAACCGCGAGCAGGGACGTGGGGGTGGGAGGTTTGAGAAGGGGAAGTAGATCCATTATGATGAGGCAGGAAAGGCAGGTGGGAGCCAAGCCTGGGGCCTCAGAGGTCAGGTGAAGGAGCTGGGACCTTTTTGCAGTGGGCAGTAGGGGCCTTTGAAAGTTTGGGAGTGATCGATCTTACCTGTTCCAGAGGAAGAATCTCCTTAGGAGTTTGTGGTGTGAAAGGTGGGGGGGTGTTTAGAGGCAGGGAGGCCCGTTGGGACAGGATGAGGCCCAGTTCTGGACGGCGGCCTCGGCTCCAGAAGGAGGTGGCCAGGCCCCCTGGGCTCCCACCAGCCCTTTAGGTGTTAGCCGGGGTGCCCCTTTCCACATATTCCTTTAGAGACCATGGGGCGGCTGGTCCTGTTAACACGTGCCCTCTTTCTAGGTCAATACCACTGTCCAGTGCTGTTCACCGTCTTCACCAACAACTCACACATTGTGGCGATCAAAGGGACCGGCAACGTGTACGCTTACGAGGTGAGCTTTCCGCCCCGCGACGCGCCTCTTCTTGGCTTAGACTCAGACTGACCGCAGGGTCTGTCCTCAGACAGCCGGTGGCCCGGCGGGCATCAGGAAGGCCTTGTCACCTAACGCTGTGCCTCAGTCTTCTCAACTGTAAAGTGGGGATCATAGTGGGCCTGCCTCCTGGGGTTGTGGTGGGGTCGGATGAGAGCCTATTTTTTAAGTACTCCACCCAGGGCTGGGCACACGGGTGCTCCTTGGTGTGGCTGCCTCCCGCAGGCGCTGCTATGTTGCCGTTGTCCGTGGAGGTTCCTGGGCAGGACTCGTGTCACTGAGGAGTTCCTCAGTTGCGGGATGGAGTGGGAACCTTTGGGGGTCCGCAGGTCCTGCCTGCATCTTGGCATAGGGAAAGGAGGGCACAGAAGCCCGCGTTTGAGTTTCTCTTCTGCCCTCTCTGAGCCTCAGTTTCCTTCTCTAAAATGGGCCAGTAGTCCTGGCCCTCTCTTCTTCATGAGGCCGTTGTGAGGAGAGGGCTCTGTTCCCTCTCCTGGGTTAGGGAGAACGCTGAGGCCCCATTCATTCAGAGGGGAAGTGACGGGTGTGACAGTCAGGGGTCCGGTAAGCTGTAGAGCCGGGGCCCTGGCAGCCTCCACTCTGGGCCTCCCAGTGAGGCTTTCTTCTGGTCCCAGCAGCCTCTGGAGGCCTCTTCCCAGGGTGGGCGGGGGTTGGTGAATGCACATGAAGGTGCTGAAGAGCCCAGCCTACACAGGGAGGAATCCTGGCAGGCCTCCTGGAGGAGCTGGGCCTCTTAGGGTGGGCGGGAGGGAGGCCAGAGGGTCACATCCAGACGTGACAGGGACGGACCTTCCTTGATCCATGCCCTTGTCTCAGGCCATAGAGCAGCTGAACATCAAAACCAAGAACTTCAAAGATCTGCTGACGGACGAGCCCTTTTCCCGCCAGGACATCCTGACGCTGCAGGTGAGAGCCTCACCTGGGGCGCCGCCCGGGCCCTCCATATGGACAGGGCTGGAAGGCATTCAGTCCTCTTGTGTGCAGGTACCCTGCTGTGCTTTGGGGGAGAGAAGTGTGGACGTGAGACGGTCTCCTTGGGGATTGGGCTCGTGTAGGATTCGGGTGTTCAGAAGGGCATGCCACGCGCTGGTCAGCTCGACTTTGCAGGGAGGGGAAGATCATTAGGCACAGGGGAGGGGAACAGCGTGGGCAGAGGCCAGGAGGTGGGAAAGCACGAGGAACGTCCAGAGATTTGCAGGAGGACGGCTCTCGCCTTGAGCCTGGCGGCTTCCCGCTGCCTTTCTTCCAGTAGCCCTTTCTGTGTGCCGGATGCCTCGTGGTGGGCAGAGAGAGGCTGCAGATCTGGCAAAGCCTCGGGCCGTCCAGGCCGGGCCCACGGCGGAGCGCCTCCTGGGAAGGATGTTGGGTGTGGTGGGTACAGATGCCCCTTAGAAGGTGCACGCTTTGTGCCGGAGGGCGAGGTCAGCGTCAGCCCCGATGGGCACCTGCCCGTCATGGGGGCTCAGAAGGGAGCTCAGTGCTCTGGTGCAGGAGGCCCCCTCCCCTCTGAATGAGCGAGTAAGTGAATGAATGGATGACCAGGCCGTGGGGCGGGGGTCCAGTTACAGGCTAGCCAGTCAACCCTAGCCCAGGGCCTTTCCAGTCTAGTAGGGCAGGACCCTCATGGCCTAAGATGCCCCTGGAGAAGTGGGAGGAGGGCTCCCAGTGTGCGCTGGTTTCTCTAGGCGGCCACCAGGTGGCGCTAGCCTGCTTCTGACACTGACCAGCGGGGGGCCCTCGGTTTCCTCATCTGTCAGATGCCCAGGCAGGGTTCTTCTGAGGCCATGCAGCACCGCAGAGGCGTGGCCGTCATGACTGTTTGGGCTGCCTTGCGTGCTCACCCCATTTCCCAGAAAGGCCGTCGCTGGCCCAAGGTCCCAGAGCCAGCTGGCTTCAGATTTGAGGCTTGAGAGGATTTTAGGGCCATGAGGCTTAGACCTCAGTGCTCCAGTGCAGACCCTCCATTTTACAGATGAGCACACTGAGGCTCCAAGACATCAAGTGAGTGACTGAGGACAAGATCGGGGCACTAGAAGGAAGTTTTGGAGAGAAAGGCACATTCTGGCCCGATGTCAAGGGGAGGTTTTTACCCTGGAGGGCTCCTGGGGGAGGTAGCAAACCTCCTCACCAGAGTCTGTGAGCAGAGGCTGACCCTGGCGGCCTCTGTGGTTCCTGCTGGCCAGTATTTACCAACTTGGTCTCTAAACCATGGGGCCCTTCATCTGCCTCATTTACCTTGTCTCTGTCACATGATCAGACCCACACGCCAAGCCCCGATCTGTGGCGTTTGCTGGTTTCCACGACATAAATGCTCCCTCTGGCAGTGGAGCTCCTGGTTCTCTGCCAGTCAGAGCTGGCTTCTGCTCCCGTCTCTAATAATCAGGGATTCTCTGGCTGACATCAGGAAGGGCAGGATTCAAACCCAGAACCTCCCTACTCCCCCTGGCCAGCTTCAAGTCCGCTTGTCTCCCTTCTGTGCTGCATTGCATGCTGGGTAGGATCCAGGATTTAGAGGAGGGACCTTTGAGAGCATTGAGTCTGCCCCCCCCCCCATTTTACAGATGAGGAAACTGAGGCCCAGGGTGGGGGAGTAACTTGCTTGGCAAGCAAAGAGCAGGGTAAGGTTTTGAACTCAGGCCCTCTGATTCCAGTGTTCTTTCTGGGGCCTTGCCATTCGACCTCCTTTGTGTCTGTCGGTGAATGGTGGCCCCAAGACACACCTGGTTGTGGGTGCAGACAGAAGGGAATGTGGAGCGATGGAAAGAATACCAACTCTGGAGCTGGGGAACCTGAGTTCCAGGGGCCCTTGGGCCAAGCACCTCTCCTCCTGGGCTCAGGATTGGATGAGGTCCCAGGACTGAGTTGGGGCTTGTGGCTGGCTGAATTAAAAATGGAGACAGGCCAGATGTGCGTCTGCACCCAGCAGGGCCTTCACTGAGTGGTGGTTGAGTCAATTTGAGTCTAGTTAAACATTTGGCAGGAAGAGGGGGGCAGTGGAGTCAGAAACATGGGCTTCTCCATCACTTTGCTGTCAGTCTCAGAGGGGGACACTCCCCCAGGGCTTTGTGGTGAGGAAGGCCCTTTTGGGCCGGGGATCATCTTGTTCTTAGACGGCATCAGGGCAGCCGGCAACCTGCATCTGGGAGTTTTCGAGCTCTGAGCCCCTGCTTGGTGCACCAGCTGCAGGGGTAGGCTGTTGGGTCAAGGGCAACACAGAAGCCAAGGTCCTGACCTCCTGGGGCCTGTGCTCTGAAATGCTTCTGAGCCATCACAAAGCAGGGGCTCCTGGGAGCACTGACCGAGGGAAGCGGTTCAGAAGGTGTCGGTGAGCACAGAGAGACGGAGCAGATGGCCCGTTAGAGGCGCGGGGGCAGGCAGAGAGGACGGAGCCGACACACGGAACAGACAGACTGCCCTTTCTTAAGGGCCCCGTCATAGCCTCAGACTGAGCCTCTCTGGGACAGAGGGGAGCCCTTCCCGTGGCTCGTCAAGTCAGAAGGGACAATTGAGATCTCCGTTCCAGCCCTTGTCAGCTGGCCCCCAGCTCCTGAGCAGGTCAGGCTGTGACAGGGTGCGGGAGAGAGTGTGCAGTCTCTCTGTTTTGTTTGGTGTGTGTTTTGGATGTGCGGCGGCTGCCCCCCCCATAGAATGTCAGCTCTTCTAGGGCAGGGGCGTTTCATCTTTGGTGCCCCAGGCGGGTGTTGACTGACTCATTGAACCAGAAGGAGCGCTAGGTTTGGCGTCTAGGCCTGGCTTTTTGCTTCTTTCAGACCTTTGTGGTCTGGGCTTTAGAGTGGGCTTTGTGATCTCTAAGCACAGCCCTGCCTGGCCCCCCACTCCCCACCCCCCCCCCCCGTCCTGACACATGGGACTGGCAGACAATACCCAGTCAGGGCCTGGGGGCTTGGGACGTCAGAGGTCATCCCGCCTTGACCAGAGGAGGCCCCTGGGAGCTCTTCCTCTGCTCAGGGGCTCATGTTTCTCTTTGTTTCCTGGCAGGATCCCACCAACCTGGACAAGTTTAATGTGGCCAATTTCTATCATGTTAAGAACAATCTAAGAGTCCTGGACCCAGGTTTGTGACGGTCCCTGTCATGCCCTAATGCGGGCCCCTTTTCTTTGGTGCTTTTAAGTTTCCCATCAGCCCTGGGAGGTGAGGCATGTAAATGTCCTTATCCCCATTTGACAGATGAGGACACTGAGGCCTAAAGGGAGTAAGCCAAGGTCACACGGCAAGTGTTGGAGCTTGACCATGAACCCAGGCCTCCCCACTCAGAGTCTGGAGGTCTTTCCCTACACCATGTTGCCTCGTGGGTAGTGAGGTCCCTGTGTCTGGAGGCGTTCAGGTGGGGAAAGCCCCAGGGAGCTGGTGGACCCTCGGGGCTCATTTCATGCTCCCCACCACTAGTGAGGGCGGAGGCGCTTGGGAGCCCGGCAGATGCCCATCACTCAAGGACATTCTGCTGTTTTGTAGACGAAGAGAAGGCCCGGCAGGACCCAACGTATTATCTGAAAAACACCAATGCTGAGACCCGCGAGACCCTGCAGGAGCTCTACAAAGACTTCAAAGGGGACGAGATCCTGGCAGCAACGATGAGGGCTCCAGAAAAGAAGAAGGTGGACAAGCTGAACGCGGTAAGGCTTGGGCTGGGACGCTTCCAGCGGGAAGGGTGCGCTCCCAGGGAATGGAAGAGGAAGGTCTCACGGATGGTCCATGGCGCAGCCGGCCGGGCCTCTGACCGCGGCCTGAGTCTCTCCCAGCGATTGAGGGCCTGGCGTTCTGTCCTTTTCATAATATGGAATAGCTTTCGTCGCCCCGAAAGCCCCTTTAACAGACATTAACTCAGCTCGCACTTTTAATGAGGCCTCCAGGTGGGCCCGTCCGCCCCAGCTCTGCGCCTCTCCCGCTCCCTCGTTCCGGCCTCTTCACCCTGCTGACAGCAGTGGTGTTTCTGAGGACCTGGGACAGGTAGCTCCGGCTTCCAGGCCCGCCTTCTCCCCCTCTGGTGTTTCCTGAAACCTTTTTCCCAGTTCATCGTCGTCTTCATATGTGTGATTTTTATGGCAGCTGACAGGCACAAAAGTTGTTTCCAGCTTTTCTTCATTATGGGTGATGCAGCCCTAAAGATTTGTGGGCACCTTCCCCTTTTCTGACAGCTTGCCAGTGCTGGCATCACAGGTCAGAGGGCAGGGCGTAATTACTTTCTCAGTGCTTGCAGCCCTCAGACAGGTCGTCCCCAGCCTGGGGGTGGTGGGCATCTGGGAGCTGCTTGTGTGGTCACTGTGCTGCCACAACTTCAGTCATTTGGGTTCCTTTCTCTGCCCTGACTGTGTGTTCACTGATCCCCCCACCCCCGCCTGTCCACCGCAGAGTGTTTCTCCCTGGCCTCTGGGGCGGTTCCTTGCAGATGTTTGAAGTTGTTTTTATCTTGTTCTTTAGGATTGAGAGCAGGAAGGAGCTGTGGGGGCATTGAGGCTCACAAATATTTGCCTTAGATATAGATTTCCTGTTCTTGTTATTCCCCATGTACTGTGCTTATATTTAGTCGTACAGACAAATGTTCATCCAGACCATTGACTGCGTCCGCCAGGAATTCTGTCTCTTTGTTCAGAGTTTGGCCTACCTCCACCCGGCTGCGCGTTCCTCATCGTAACGTGCACGCCGATGGGCGAGCGCAGGGGGCCCGGCCCCCGTGGAACCCAGGCAGCCTTCTTGCTGAGCCCCTCCGGCAGCCTGGGCTTCTTAGAAACGGAGACGTGCAGTCATGAAATTCATTCATTGGGAGCAGTGGAGTGACCTTGATCTTCTACTTCTGCCTGCCCATTTTACAGATGGAGAGGCAGAGGCTTAGCGAGAGGGGGGCAGTGGTCTTCTCTGGGGTCCCACAGCCAGTGAGCGCCAGGCCAGGAATCCATCAGAAAGTCCGCAAAGCACTCGTTGCTCTGGGCCAGTGTCCAGCTCATGTCGGTCACGTTGGGTTGTCAGAAGCTCTCTTGGTGACCCTGCCTTTCCTTCTCTTTCCACCAGGCTCATTATTCCACCGGAAAGGTCAGTGCCTCCTTCACCTCCACAGCCATGGTCCCTGAAACAACCCACGAAGCAGGTAGGTGCACGAGTTCGGTGGGAGTGGGCCGTGCTGAGGCCTCCCCAGAGTGCCGCAGGGGTCCCGGGAGGGAGGCGGAAGCGCCCCTGCCCAGGAAGGCCCTACCCAGGCCAGGGAGGGAGAGCAGGCACCTGGAGACCGGCCCCGTGCCCAGCACGTTTGTGGGGTGACCGTGGAGGGAAGAACTAGCAGAGACCACACTGTCCTGTCGTGTTGGACGGGCCAGACGGGTCTGACCTACGAAAAACTGCTGCCCGGGAGAGCTGTCCAAAGCGGGCGGGGCTGCCCCGCGGCCTCTTCAGTCTGGTCTAGGCCTGACCCTGCTGTCAGGGGCGCTTTGGACCAGATGACCTCTTAGTCCCTGTGGCCCCTCAGCATCTGTGTGGGACACCAAGGATCCTGCAGGGCCTCTGTCCGGGGCCGGTGCTGTTGGCATCTCTCTGACCCATGGCTGCGGCCCCAGGGCACCCGCATCTCACACTGAGCCCCTCTTCTCCTTCAGACTCCAGGCCGCCACCTTCCCTCCCCTCCCCCTCCTCTCTTCCTCCTTTCCGTCCAGGGCCCTGAGGTCCTCCCCATCCTCCCCATCCCTCTGGTCACCCACATCCAGTGACTTGACAATTCTCTCCCCCGAGGGGTCAGAGGTGACCATCCTCAGTTGTCTCCCTGCCCGCCCTCCCCTCAGATGCCAGGCTGTCCTTCCTAAAACTCCACTCTGGCCACCCTGTCAGATCTGACCCTCAGGCTCCTCACACCACCTCCACACCCAACCTCCCATCTCCTGCCTCTGTGCTGTGGCTCGTGCCTTCCTCCTGCCTAGCGTGCCCTCTCTGCGCCTGCAGCGCGGTGCTTGTGGGACTCAATAGATGTGGTCATCCTGCGTCTGCTCCCGGGGTGCACTGGCCCCTCCTTCACTGGCTTCCTTCCAGCTCCCCCGTCCTCTTCCTTCTGCTCCCTGGGCAGCGGCACTTGGGGACTCAGTCACACAGAAAGGCTTATCCCCCTGGGAGCCACTCTCCTGTCCCTGGCGATGGCATGAAAACGTGGGCCCAGAGAAGGGACGGGAAAGGCCTGAGGGCATGCATCGGCGGTGGCAGCTGTGGAACCAGGCCCCATGGTGCCCTGAGGCTCATTCAGTTGTGTGCCGCTCTGTCCCACATCCAACTCATCTGGGTGTGGCTCTGCCAGAAACCCGGGTCTTTTTTTGACCCGGGACAGGGGTGTCCAGGCCAGGAGGGCCCTGAGATTCCTTCGCTGTGAGGTCTTCCAGCTCGGACGCCCCGGGCCCTCCTCCCAACAGCAGTGTCTCATGGCACACACAGCTCCTCTGTGCCTTTGTTGAGGGGCCTGGAGTTCATGCCCTCGGAGGAGCAGAGACATTTAGGCTGGGAGACGGGGCTCTGGGCGGAAAGGGAGATGACACCAGGAGCGGGGGAGGGAGTTAGAGGAAGGCAGAGGCAGGTCTGCACAACGGCGTGGCCCCGGTTGGCGGCATGGCCCCCTGTTGGGGAGAGGGCTACCTCGGGGGGGGAGGGGGATAGATGCTAACTCTGCGCTCTGGGCTCTGGAATCGGAGGAGAGGTAGTTCCTCCGTCCCAGCCCCGGAGCCTGCTTTGGGCTGCTCTCAGTATACAGAGTGGCCCGGACGTGTCCGCGGCAATCCCTAATTGGGCCGTTTCCCTGAGACAGCCGCCATCGACGATGACGTTGTCCGCTATCGGTTTGTGAAGAAGAAGGGCTACGTCCAGCTGCACACCAACAAGGGGGACCTCAACCTGGAGCTGCACTGTGACATGGTAGGTGTGCCAGCCTGTGCCCGTGTGCCCAGAGCAGCCACAGCGGTCTTCTTAAAAAACTTGCCTAGGATGGACCTAGGTCAAGAACTGAGGGCTGAAGAACGTGGGCCTCTCGTGCCTGGACCCTGCGCCAGTCAGATCTGGGCTGGTCGTGTGTGCGTGGCAGGGCAGACGTGCCTGGTGCCCAGGCCTCCCTGAGGAGCCCAGCTTTCGCCTGGCTTTCGCTGGGCCTCTGGCCGAACTCTGGATTGCCAAGGCCTCAGCCTGTTTCAGAAACAGACCAAGCCCAGGCTTTTCCTGCTCGGAGAATATGAGGGTTACTTGGTGGTGGCTCTCATCTGAATCCCTAGAGACTGGGGGCCTGGGGGCAGTCGTGGCATGAGCCCAGGTCTCTGAGGGCTCTTTCTGCTCCGTTTCTGGAATCCCAGCGCCAGCTTCCAGCACCTCTTTGTCTTTCCCTACTGGCTCCAGATGGGCCCCACTGCGCGTCTGGCGTGACCTCCCCTACTCTGAGATTCCCAGAGAGGGCGAGCCTGCTGCCTCAGGCTGTCCGGCCCTCATTCTCCCCACAGAAGCCAGGTGGCAGCTCTGCCGGGCTTTGGGCAAGCAGACAGGAAGCTCCTCGCTGCCTGTGAGATAGATAGGACAAATCTCTGTCTCTATTTTGGAGAAGAGGAAATGGACACAGAGCAGGAAGTGCCTTCCGCCAGGTTCTGTAGATAGTGAGCGAGATGCTTTCTCTCCTGAGCGGGGCCTGCCACGGCTCCTGCAGATGCATGCTGGGAGCGCGTCTGCCTTTGCCGCGTTTGTGGATGGCCCTGGACAAGGCCTTCCCCAAGTCACTTGGCCTCACCGTGGAGACATGACTTTTTTAGTTTAATTTTATTTTTTCCAATGAACAAAAATCTGCTTTTCTCTTCCTTCCCACTCTGCCATCTTTGAAAGTCAAAGCTTTTGTCACTGTATGTATTGCCAAACCAAGCGTCTACACTGGCCATTTGCAGAGATGGACGTCTTGTTCTGTACCTCTCTGCCAGGAGGTGGTAACGGGCTTCATCACGGGCTCTGGCATCGTGTCTGGTCACTGCCTTAGTGGGAGCTGTGCGGGTTCTGCCCGTTTCACTTTGTGTTGGGTCAGACCAGTCTTCCTAGGTTTCTCTGAACTCCTTCCTTTCATCATTTCTTGAGGCACAGTCATGCCCCAGTTAATGGGCAGCTCTCCGCTTCCTAGTTCTTTGCCACCACAAAAATCAGCCTGTACCTGCGGGTCCTTTCTTCTTCCTGGATCTCCCTGGGGTCACGGGCCTAGTAGAGGTAGCTCTGGGGGCCGAGGGCATGATAGGTCCGAGATGTTTGGGGTGGAGCGCCCCCGTGCCTGACTAGAATAACTGCAGGAGGGGCCTTCTCTGCCTGGGGCAGCAGCTGGCCCACGGGTCTCTCCCCTCGTTAGCCGACTTTGTCTCCTGCTGACTCACCCTCTGTTCTCCAGGGCTCCTTACCCAGTAAGTCATAGGATGGCAGGCCGAGGAAGGAGCCCCGACCCCTTTCCTGGACAGACACTGAGCGTGAGGCCCAGAACGTGGGGGGAGCCAAGGCAGGCCTCCCACTGGGTACCTCCTGGCTGCCAGCCCTGCTCCTGAGGACAGAGGCTGTGACTGGCGTACGGTTGAGGGGCAGAACTTTGAGATCTCATCTCCCCAGTTCCTCTGTGAAGCCTTCCTTGATCGGTCCCTCGGCGTGATGGAAGTGGTTTCTTCCTCGTCTGATCTCACGGCACTTGCCTCCTGTCTCACATACTTTTCATATTTTCAGCCAGTAAACATTAGTTGTCCCTCCTATTAAACTGTAAACTCCTGGTGGGCTGGGGGACTTTAAAAGGGGCTTTAGGAAAACAGCCTCGGCCTTCGTGTTGGCCATCAGGCATCACAGCTCGGCCTTGTTTACGTGGACTGAAGGTTCCTGAGTAAAATAAAGACAGGATTTGTTCTTCCTGCCTTGGGTCCCTTCGGCCGAGTGCCCTCCCGGCAAGGAGGGGGATGGGGCTGCCATCTGGTGATGATGTCATGCAGCCAGATACAGATGGGTGGAGGAGGCGCTTCTGCTATTTCTGTCTTGTCTTTCCTTGCCAAGGGTGGAGAGGCCCTCCACTCACCCTGAGACTGGCACACGTCTTTCCAGAGCAGTGGGGAGAAAGGACAGGAGCCTTCTTGAGCTATGTGAGAAGAGATTGAAGGACTAGGCCAGGCACTAAGATTCTCCTCAGTGACTGCAGGGCTGGAAATGGAGAGTCAGAGCTACAAATCTGGAAAGGATGTTAGAACATAAGCGGGTCAGAGCTGGGAGGAATGTTAGCGCTAAGAAGGATGGTGGAACAGGAAATGTCAGACTGGGGGCTGGGAAGGGCCTTAGGCGAGGTGATAGCAGAGTTGGGAGGGGCCTTAGGACAGGGGGTGTCAGGGCTGGGAGGGGCCTTAGAGCTCTGGCTCCTAGAGTCTCAAAGATGATGGAGGCCAACCATCCACCCAGCACGGTATGATCTTGTACTGCCTAGGACTTTACGTCCCAGTTTTCAGAAAGAAGGAAAAAAGAATATTCTTTGAAACGTGGTTTGACTTTGATTCTTAACAGAATCTCAGGATGCTCTAAAGGGATGATTTGTGCCCATCAAGGGAAGACGTCATACTCTTTAAGAGCCACCGGTGCAGGCACCTTGTCAGAAGGACAAGGGAGGGGCCTCTGGCATCTGCTGTCCTGGGTTCTGAGATTTCTGCAAGGCACCTGGTAGAGTCTGTTGGGATCCTGGTGGCTAGGAGATGGCAGAACTGGATGGGGTCAGGATGTGGAAGGGAGGCGGGCAGAGGAGACGTCTCCAGTGAGCTGAGCCCAGCGCAGTTTTAACTTTTATCAGGGCTCAGCTGGCAGGCTCATCAGATCACTGGCCGCCGTGATGTGGAGAGGGATGGCTAAACCCTGGATAACAGAATTGGGATCCAGAAAGATCCTGACAGGCGAGAATAATGGGCTAAAATGAATAAGATTCTATTTATCCCAATTGAATTTCAGACACAAAACATTCAAAAAGTCACCCATTCTAGGAGAGTACGGGGTGGGGTGCAGGGAAGACTTGCCCGTTAGGGTCCGTGCACTTCAAGCAAAGGCCCGACGCCTGAAGGGCCTGGTCTGTGGGCACACAGCCCCTGGTTCTCTCCGGAGGATTTTGGGGGAAGGCTGGAGGGGTGATGTTTGCAGTTGGACTTGACGGTTTTCTGCTCTGACATCCTGCGATTCTTTGACCCCTAGTCCTAGCTGTGTGGCCTTGGATAAGCCACTTGGAGGAGATCCTTGAGCTGCTGAGTGTGGAGTCTGGGTGAAAGGCCGCAAAGTGTGGCCTTGGAGTCAAGAAGCCCTGGGTTCAGATACCACCCCTCTAATCCTCAGTCTCTTCATCTGCAAAATGGGTACAAAATGTTGTGGAACCCCAAGGAGAGAATGTTTGCAGACTGCTTTGCGGACTGTGCACATCCCAGCAGGGTCTTTTGGTTCTAGGTGTTGAGGGGCAGGTGAGTAAGAACCACCCTCTTCCTGCAGGCGGCCCAGCAGCCCCTGCCATTACGCAGCAGTGGGGCACAGGAGGGAAGGAGGGAGTCGGGTTTCCTTGGCGACCATGGAGCTACCTCGGGGCCTGTGGCTGCTGTGGGAACAGCCTGGGAGAATGGCCTTTACTGCTGAGTGGCCCAGGTCCAAGGCCCAGGCTCTGTTTCACCAGATGGCAGATGAGGGCTCTCCGTGAGCTGCCAATAATACCCAGGCACAGGGTTGAGGCTGAGAGCGAGGCACGTGTCAGTTGAATCGTAGGATAGAGACCGTCAGAGCTGGGATGGGACTTTAGATCGTAGAACATAGAATGTCTGGCCTGGGAAAGACCTGAGAAGATAGAACGGACGGTGTCAGAGTGGTCAGGGACCTTTGAGATCATTGGTCAGATTCCCGCATTTGACGTGGGAGTGAGCGGTTGAGTCAGAAAGCTTGGGGTAGGTGGCTCAGTAGTGAATCCAGGGCTCTTCCCCTCACTTCATTGCCTCCGACTCCAGCCTTTTCTGTAGTTTTCTTATAAAAAATATATTCTTGGTGCCGTCTGTCTTCCCATCAGTGATTAGATCCTTAAGACAAAGAAATCTGAAGCTGTAATCCAGCTAGTACAGCGACGACTCTCGCACAGTGGCCGTGGTATTTGGCCCTGCCAAATCTTGTGGGCCTCAGTTTCCTCCTCTGGTCAGACAACGCCTGAGACCTTCCCTGACTTCCGTCACTCAGAGTTGGAAATCCTTCACGTGATCTTTCCGTTTACGTTGTGGTCGTAGGTCCACCGCTTTGCTTTGCGTCAGTTCCCCGAGCTTCTCCAACATCCACATTCTCATCCTGTCTCTCTGTTCTCTTATGTTGGGTCACGCTTCCTCTCCCAACACGTGTTGATCGGCACCTTCTCTGAGCTTAAGTCCAGGAAGGGCTTATCGCACGCCAGAGGCGCTTCCTCCGTCAGACTTACCAGCTGTATTCCTGCTGGGGCAGCACTGTGTTTCCTGTCCTTTGTACCACACAGAGGGCGGCTGGGTCTGTCTTTCAGCTCCTGGGGGCGTATGCCCACCTCTGTGCCTTTGCCCTGGCTGTCCCCCTTGCCTCCTGTGGGCTCCCGTCAACATCCCCTAATTACCCCAGAGTTGCCAGTGCCCTTCCTTCCTCCCTAATCCCCTATATTTTTCTTGTATGTGCGTATTTGTCCGTTAGATTGTAAGCTCCTTGAGGGTAGGCACTGTCTTTTGCCTCTTTTTGTATCCCTAGTGCTTAGCACAGTGCCTGGCACATTGTAGGTCCTTAATCAATGTTGATTAAATTGAACTGAATTTTTTTCCCCCAATAGAATGTAAGGTCCTTGAGGGCAGGCAGAGACAGTTTCGTTTTTGCCTCTAGCTCACAGCCCAACACATAGTAGGTGCTTAGGCAGTCATGCTCGGCGCTTGGTCAGTGGTGGAGTTTCTTGGTTAAAGAATGGGGAGGCCCTGTTAGTCTATTTGCTGGTGTACTTCCCGATTGAAATCCAGGAGGGTCAGACTGCCTCCCAGCTCCACCAGCAGTGCGTGCTTAGAAAACCCTGCTGCGATTTTCTAAGGAAGGCTATTGTATTGAACAGGTATCTCAAGCATTGCGATTGTGGGACCCGGCTGCAGATTTGCCCTCAGCTCCCAGCAGCTGTGGGCAGAATGAGGAATCTGGGCTGGTGTGTCCCCAGCTTGACCGACAGGGTCCACCCCCTCAGAAAGGAAGGAAGAATTTTCTGGGCTTAGGAGGGGGATCTGTTTCTGGGGGATCCATCCCTTTTTCTAGGTAGTAGAAAGTCATGTTTTAATAGCACGGGGAAAACCTCAAGCCCCTAATCCCAGTTGGCCAGCTTTTTGATTCGTTCACGAGGGGAAAGGGTTGGTGTGATAGATGGGGAGTGGGTTGGTGACCCTGGGTGGGAAGAGGGCTAGAGATGAATCCTGGTTAGTTAAGGCCTTAGAGATCCTACGATCCTTAGAGCTCGTGAGTCCAACCCTCATGCTCTCCAGAGGAGGAAACTGAGGCCCACACGAGGTAAAGCGATTTGCCCAAGGTCACCTAGCTTGTGTTGGAGGAGGATTTGAACTCATATCTTCTTGACTGCCAGTCCAGCACTCCGTTTGCTTCTCTAGGGCGGACCCCTCATTTTACAGATGAGGCCCAAGGTCACATAACTTGGTTTGGAGGAAGATTCGAACTCAAGCCCCTGGACTCTTGCACCAAGGACATTCCCTGAGTTGGGCCTTAGTTTCCTCCTCTGTAACATGGGGGTGATAGCCCGTGTCCCACCCTGCCAGGATGGTTTTGGGCAGAAAGTGTAGGGGGAACCTTGGAGCCTCGGGAGTCCGAGCTCTTGACGCCCACGGCTCAGCCTGACGTGCATGGCTTCTTTGCAGACTCCCAAAACGTGTGAAAACTTCATCAAACTCTGCAAAAAGAATTACTACGATGGGACCATCTTCCACAGGTCGATCCGAAACTTTGTGGTGAGTATTGCTGGGGGGAGCACGGGCCGTGTCACCATCATTCCCAGAAGCACCTGGCCCGGACTGCGCTTGGCTGTCAGTCATGGCTTACCTCTGCCCCGACTGCCCAGGTCGCCTCAGGCGGCCCCCTGCTCCTCTCTGGGCCTCACTTTACATGTCTGTCCAGGGGAGGGGTGATTCTGAGGGTCCTTCCTGCTCATCTTGGCCCTGGGGATGACTTTGCCTGAGTCAGGGAACCTTTCTCTGGGCCTTTATGTGGGAAGCAGGGGAAAGAGGGCTGACTGTGCAGGCCAAGGACACAGATTGAAATGTGCCATCATCGGTCTCTGAGGCGTACAAGCCGGATGACTGTGGACGTGTCACTGCCCCTGTCTAGGCCTCAGTTTCCTCATCTGTAAAATGGGGGTGGGGGTGGACGAAAAGGCTTCTGAGGTCCCTTTTGGCTGGACCCAATGAGCTCCTTCCCCCCTTTAAAGAGGAGGGGGCTCAGAACGGGGGATTTGAGGCCTCCCCCTCCTGATCTGTCCGTCATTAGAGCTGCCTCCCTCCTTGAATGACCTTGGCTCTCTGCAAGCATACAGGATGACGCAGAAATTGTGCTTCTCCCCACCTGTCCCTGCGCCAGGGAGAATGGAAGCCCCTTGAAGGCAGAGACCGTGGCAGTGCTGAGCCCAGGTCTCTTTTCATCTTTCCTTTTCCCTGTCCTCAGTGCTCATCGACTGACATTTTGTTCCTTCCTTCTCCCTTCTCTCTAGATCCAGGGTGGGGACCCAACTGGCACAGGGACAGGTAAGTGTGTACTCAGTCATGTCTTCAGCACTCAGTTCTTTCACAGGGCCCGTCTTCAGTCCAGCAGCCACTGGGACCCAGTCTGTGGTGCAGAGTTGCTAAGAGTGGTGAGGCTTTGCCAGCGCCTCCTTCCAGTGGCTCTCTGAGCCTGGGGGCGTGGTTGTTGTGGAGTGGGGCATCAGGCCAGTTTGTCCCCGTGGTGCTGTCCCTGCGTTGTCTGCAATAGCCTGAGGGCCAAATGTTTAGGCAGCAGTCCAAGGCCCTTCAGTCAGATCCATGCCTGTCATGGCGGAGCTGGCTGGGGATCAGACCTTGGTGGGGCTCTGGGCCTGAGGCTCTGGGCAGCCAACCAGTGGGAGTAGTCTGGGTCAGGATAGAACTAGGAACCAAGGCAGGAAAACATGGAACCAGGTAGTGACCAGGGGCCACACAGGATGTCAAGTCAGGGATGGCCATAGAAGGGCTGAGACTGGGGGCAGTCAGAGCCTGTGCTTGCAGTAGCCAGGCTGGAGGCTCCAGCTGCAGAATCCCAGAATCATTGAAGCTTCTCATCCCAGGAGAAGATTCCCCTCCCTCTCTGACATAGGCTGGATGGCAGAAAACTCTTTCCACCAGTGAAAGCTATCCCAAGATTTTGTGGGCTGCCTTGGGAGGTGGAGGGGTCCCTATAGCTGGAACCATTTATCAGGTTGTAGGCGAGATTCCTGCTCAGGGATAGGTCACACTGGATGCCCCTTAGATCCCTGTTGACTCTTAGAATGTGATGCTGTGAGCCTTGGTAAGTGGTCATCTCCAGGGAGGGAGAACTCACTGCTTCTCAAGGCATCTAGGGGGTGCCACAGTATAGAGCGATGGGCTTGGGGTCAGGAAGACCTGAGTTCAAATCCTGCCTCAGACACTTGTGACCACTGCTGTTTGCCTCAGTTTCCTTATCTGTAAGTGGAGATCATAATAGTACCTGCCTCTCAGGAGTATATCAGGGACTAAGGGATGTTAAAGAGGAGGACCAGCATCTCTGGTGTGGGGGCTTGCCAAGCCCTTTTCAGGGATGTTCATCCACCACTGGTGTCCATCTGGCACTCAGCTCTCACCCGTGGCTCCAAGAAACTGTTGCATGCACAGTGGCCGCACCCCGGTAAACTGCCTTGCAGATAAGCTAAACCAGGTCGAGGTTAACTGAGGGGCTTCACACCCATTGGTGAGTCGGGGGAGCGTCTGCCTACACCTGTGAAGACTCCCCCAGCAGAATGGGTAAATGAGAACAGTTTGTTCCAGTGGCCGTGAAGGCAGCTGGAGCAGGCTCAGACGTTGAAGACGCCAAGGTCACCGCTGCGTCTCAAGCCCTCACCAGTTATCCTGACTTTTGCCCTACCACCAGACTTTGGTGACTGTGGAAGAAAAAGTGAGGCTGATGACTTTGGGCAATTCTGCCTCACTTAAATCTGATTCATGCATGAGTCAAGACATCACCCCATGATGTCACTGGTCCTCTTCAAAAACGAAGGACAGACAATAATAATGACAATCACCTCTCAGTGGCTATTGTGAGAGGATCCAATAAGATCATATTTATAAAGTGCTTAGCACATAGTGGACACTTAAGAAATGCTTGTTCTCCTCCCTTCTGAGTCTTGTAACAAAGAATGAAGACTGAGGGTGTCCCCACTGACCCCACAGGGGCAGGGAGATGCCTGGGCTTTCCACATGCTTTATGCATATTATCATTCGATCCTCACCACAACCCTGCATGGTAGGTGTGTTATTATCTGCATTTTACAAATGAGGACATTGAGTTTCAGACTAGTTCAGACTTGCTAGAGTCACTCTGCTAGAAGGATCTGGGATAGGATTTCAACTCTTCTTGACCCTGGGCCCAGCTCTCTGTCCCTCTGTACTGTTTCTCTTGGTGATCTCATCAGCTCCCAGGGATGCAGTCATCATCTCTGCAAACCATTCTCTGGTCTCCTTGTGTCCCCTTAACCTCCCTCTTGACCCCCAGTCTCACATCTCCAGCTGCCTTTTGGCATTTTTGAATTGAACGTCCCATCTCTATCATCAGCTCTAAACTTGTGTCCGAACTGGGCTTGTCATCGTTCTCCAATTTCCCTATGACTGTTGGAGGCACTACCCTCCTCCTGGTCACCCGGGTTTGAAACCTGGATTCATCCTTGACTCCTCACGCTGTACGCTCCATATCCAGCGTCTTGTTCTACTTACTGGCAGTTCTTTTGTGTGTGTGTGTCTGTGTGTCTGCTTCTCCAACACCGCCCCCACCCTGGTGCAGGCCCTCATCGCCTCACACCTGGAGTATGAGAATCACCTGCTGGGGGTCTGCCTGCCTCCGGCCTCTTCCCACTCCAGGCTAGCCTTCGTTCGGCCACCGAAGTGATATTCCCCGAGTGCAGGGCTGACCGTGACACTCCCCGAGTCCGCTCCCTGGGGCCGCCAGGAGCAACTCCAAAGTCCTCTGGCCTTCAAATCCCTGTGCGACCTGACCCCTCCTGCCTCTCCAGGCTTCTTACCCCTTAGGCCTGGCTGTGCCCATCTCTCTGCTCTAGACATCTTCTACGGCTGCCCCATGCCTGGAGTGTTCGCCCTCCTCTGCCCTGACCACTCTACGTCCCCACTAAAATCCCACCGTCTGTAGGAAGCCTCCCCAGCCCCTCTTAATCCCGGGGCCTTCTCTTCGTGTATTTTTGTTGTTCAGTTGCATCCAGCTCTCCGTGACCCCATTTGGGGTCTTCTTGGCAAAGATACCAGAGGGGTTTGCCGTTTCCTTCTCCAGCTCATTTGACAGATGAGGAAACTGAGTCAAGCAGGGTGAAGTGACTTGCCGGGTCACACAGCTGGGAAGTGTCTGAGGCCAGATTTGAACTCGGGAAGATGAGTCTTTGTGACTCCAGGCCTGGCACTCTGGGCACTAGGGCGCCCCCTGGCTGCCCCTTCAGGCCCTGTGCTCTGGGCGCTGCGGCACCCCCTGGCTGTTTTGTGGATTAACTCCTTTATCTTGTCTGTAGCTCATTTGCCCAGTTGCTTGAGGTCAGGGCCTGTCTTTTTCCTTTCTTTGTTTCCCCAGCCCAGCCCTAGCCCTGTGCCTGACACACAGCAGGTGCTTAGCATGCCACTTGCACACCAGGATGACCCAGTCCACCAGACCTCCCCAGGCCTCCCGGCTGCTCCTTTGCCCAGTAGCAGAAATGCCCCCACCTCATGGTCAGCCCCTGGGCCATTCCCTGAGACCGGTGCTCTGGGCCCCGACCTTTGAGTTTCCTCCACTGGCAAACAAGGCGTGTGAGAAAGGACTTTATAAAAGCACCTGGGAGCAGGGGCTCCCTCCGGGGTCTGCAGTGGCCACCCTTCCACGTTCTCTGTCCCCCCTGTGGCAATGGGTGCTGCTCTGGCCGGCAGAGGTGTGGCTGGGGCGTTGAATTCCCTGAGGGGGCGACCTCGGGCCATTAGCTTTGGAGTCAGGGCCTGCCCAGATCCCAGCTGTGCCAGCCCTGCCATGCCAGCATGGGCCGTGCCCCGTGTCCTTGTCCTGGGTGGGGTAGACCATCAGTGACTTCTGCTCTCTGCGAGGCCTGGGGTAGAAGAGAGGCGTGGGGGCTGGTCTGGGGACCCAGGGGGGATTCCTGGGCAGCTCCTGCTGGCCCAGGCCTGGCATCCTTCCGCCAGGGCTGGCCCAGCTCACCATCCTGCCTGACATTTGTGTTTTTGGTCTTTCAGGGGGTGAGTCCTACTGGGGGAAGCCCTTCAGGGACGAGTTCCGGCCCAACCTGTCACACACGGGCCGCGGCATCCTCAGCATGGCCAACTCTGGGCCCAACTGCAACAAATCCCAGTTGTGAGTTCTAGGCCCTTGGCGGGGGAGGGCGGCATCAGGGCTGCAGATTGGGGGCTGCCTCTGGGCTCTGGAGGGTGTTGGGGCCCACCCCGCCTGAAGAAGAATCTCCTGAAAACGTCTCAGATGAGACGCACCACCCTGTGCCCAAAGGCCTCCAGGGACGGCGAGCCCACCCCTTCCTGAGGCAGGATTCCCAGATGTAAGGAAGTTCCTCCTAGAGTGAGCCTAAATCAGTGGCTTCCTGGGGCCCCCCACAGAGCAAGGCCCATCGGTCTTCCACAAGGGCCCTCAGGCCCCCTTCTCTTCTCCAGACCACACTGCCCAGTTCCTTCATTTGGTGCTCCTAGGATGTGGCCGCCAGGCCCTCCCTCATCCAGGGGGCCCTCCTCCGGTCACAGTGGGGCATCGGTGCTTTTCTTAAGCTGTGCTTCCAGAACTGACCCTAACCAGGTCTCTGGCTGGGGTCTGGCCAGGGGACAGGGCGTTGGGACCCTGGCGACCTTCTCAGGCAGTCTGGCTTTCTTGGCAGCCAGCCCCCATGGATGACTCGCCAGGCCTCAGAAACCTTCTCCATCTTCCCCCATCTTCTCAGCCTCTGGCTTCCCCTTCCTGGCCTGCCCCCCCAAGCAGCGTCCCAGATCAGCCATTCCCCACCTGGGCAGCCTCGGGCCTAGAAAATGAGGGCTCATGGATTGGAGCTGGAGGGGCTTCAGACCCGCTCAGAGGAGGATCCTGAGGCCCAGAGAGGCTGGCACTGGCCCAAACCCAGCAGCCCAGGGCCCTGCCGCCTGCTCTTGGCCTCTCGGATACAGCCTAGGGGATCTTTGATGTTCCTTCCAGCTCAGACATTCTCTGCCTCTGTCTGGTCAGGCCTTCGTCAGTAGGAATACAGGCCTGATCGTGCATTCACAAAGCCTGGTCTGTGTGGGCCCCAGCGGGGTGTGGTACTAACTCGTGAGGATGGACGGGGCGGGGGGAGTATGGGGAGCCTCACTGGGTCCAGAGGGAAGCGGAGGCCCCAGAGAAGGGCAGGGCCTTGCTCAGGGTCACCCAGCTCTAAAAGCTCAGGACTGAAACTCATCTGGTCTTCGGGCTCCAAAGATGGCGGTGGCTTTCTTTGCACACCACTGATCTGCCAGAAAAGACATTATCCATCAAGCTCTCCCTCAAATAGTCCCCTGGACCTGTGACTCTGAACCCCTCTAGGGAGGGGGAGCTCCCCATTTCTAGGGTCACCTTCATCTTAACCCAAACGCATTCTTTTGCTGCCCCTGGAATGTTCCCTTTCACTGGAGGGGCCTGATGGGAGCTGTCCAGATACTTGAGCCAAGAAGGTTTGAGCAATCCCCTCCAGCCACACCTTGACCATCCCTTACAGAACCTCGCCAGGCACCCCACAGAACTCCAGAGAAAATGAGAAAGGAGAGGAAAGCATGACAGGCCAAAGGTTCTGGCCATGGGGGGCTGGTCATGTGGGGTCCAGATGAAGAAAGGGAACCAGAAATCTGGACGGTGTCAGGAGGGGATTGGGCCTCTTCTGTGTGGCCCGGGGCAGAAGGCCAGACCCTGGGCTCCTCCCATACCACAGCTGATGAGCCCTTCCTGTGAGGTTCAGTGGCCACTTCATGGGAATGCCTCTGAGGCCCTCTGAGCTTCTGGAGTAAGAGGGTCTGGAGTGTGCTGCATACGTCTAAGGGCCTGCAGCACATTAGTGGTAGGAGCCCAACTGGGAACCTCGGTCTCCTGGGCCAGATGCCTCCACTGCTGAGTGGGGTCACCAGGGGGATGAGCTTGGAATTGCAGGGCCTCGTTTTGTTTTGAATTCATTCTCTTGGGGTCCTGGAGGATCTCCCTTGGAGTTTACTTTTGGAGGAGTGGGGACAGGAACGTGGACAGGCCCGGGCCTCTTGCAGTCCCAGAGGCATGTCTCATCCCTGCCCCGTTCTGGATTGCTCTCAGTGTCTGGACGTGCTCCCACTGAGCTAAGTTGGCCTAGGCTGATGCACAAGCAAGACCCCTTTCTGGCTGGCGGGCAGGGCAGCCCACAGCTTTCATTTCAGTGAGCCAAGGAGGGGACGTGGCTTCTTCAGAGGCGCCTAAGGACCAGAGGGTCATATATACGTTAGTGATCAGGGAGAAAAAAAATATGTACCATTTGTTGGACCCAGAATTTCCCCCAGAGGCCTAAATTAAGATGTCCTACGAAGTAGGGGTGGGGAGGCAGGCAAGAGCCTGAACTGGAGGCCCCCTGAGGGCTGCTCAGATTCAGCGGCCGGTGGCTGGGCACCGGGTGGATGTGTGGCGGGCTCCTGGACTGCCTGCTCCCTCGCTTCTCCCATCTTGAATTCGGGAGTCCCGGAGCCCAGCTGGGTTCTACTGCCCCTTCCCCACTGCTCCTTGCCCTGAAGCTAGCTGGCGTGTACCCTCCTCCCCAGGCCTCCTATACTTGGGGGGTCACTTCAGGCTGTACCCCCAGGGGTTTGGGGGGCCACCTCTCTGCTGAGGGTCACAGTCTGCCTCTTGTTTCTCTCTAGTTTTATCACTTTTCGGTCGTGTGCTTACCTGGACAAGAAGCACACCATCTTTGGAAGGTAAGAGAAGCCCTGGAGAGGGCCCCCGGGAGCCCACCTTGGGGGGCAGGATCTGCCCTCCCCGCCTAGTCTCCAGCACTTGTTGGTGCCCTCCTCATTCAGATCCCATTGCCTCTTGGGGGTCTGTGTGCTCTCTGATGGGGGTGTGGCCACCTGTAGCCCATCCCTCCATGGCCTCCCCTCTCCTCCCCCTGCAGAGTTGTTGGTGGCTTTGACACCCTCACAGCCTTGGAGAACGTGGAGAGTGACCCCAAAACTGACCGGCCCAAGGTAATGGGGCTCCCCGGGTCTGCTGGTTGCAGCCCTGAGTGGTGGTGGGAAGGCGCTTTCTTTGGAATCAGGACTGGGGTTTGTTGGGGTTTTCTGTTTGTTTTTTCTCCCAACTTTTCGGCTCGGCAGCCCCACAAACGGGGACGAGCCACGGCCTCTGGTCCTCGGTGTCTCGTCTCTAGTGGGGTCCCTTGGCTTTGGAGCAGTTCACTTCCCCCTCACCTGTGTTCTCTCACATGAGCTCTCCCTTCTAACAGGTGCTTGTGGGAGGGCGCGGCCTTTGCCAGGGCAGGGGCCCCAGATCATGTGAGGTGGGGGAGAGGTATCAGCCGTGGGAGCTCTCAGTGGATGGCCTCAGCTTGGTCAGTGAGCGAGGGGGAGGGACGGGGTGTCAGAGGGTGCCTTGCAGCAGCGAGGGCCCAGCCAAGCTTCTGTAGCTCGTTTGAGGTGGTTTCCGAGTTCTCCCCGCTTTGTTGGGCAGCCTGTGTGGAGCTCGTGGGGTGGTGATCTAGGGCTGGGCTTGGCAAGGACAGAGCTGACCGGCCTAAGGCAGCCTCTCCCCAGCCCAGCACACTGCTCGAGGAGGTGGCCTGGACCGAGGTCCAAGGCCCTGAGGCAGGAGGGCCTGGGCCCATCGGAGCGGGCCTTGTCCCGGTGCCCCAGGGGCAGCGGCTGTTCCCCTGAGCTCAGTCTTTTTTACCAGGAGGACATTCGAATTGAATCCGCCACAGTCTTTGTGGACCCGTATGAAGAAGCCGATGCTCAGGTGAGGCCCAGGCCCTTGGACCAGCTCTGCCCCCTTCCCTCCGAGATGCCTGTGAGCTCACTGCATGCCGGTCTCATTGCAGGTTGCTGAAGAACGGGAGAAAACCAGAATGGAGGAGGCCCCCAAGGTGAAGGCCACCGTGGCCCCGTCGGGCCCCCGGGTTTACCGTCAGGGAGTGGGCAAATACATCTCCCCTGAAGTCACGTGAGTGCCCTCTTCTCCACAGCCATCTGTCACTCCCTGGGGCGTCCGTCCGGCTCCCTTCCTCAGGCACCGGGGGCTTTGGGGAGGGGTGGGGGGACGTCCTGAGAATGGCCAGGGGAGCAAAATGAGGCATTCCAAGGGGGCCCTGGATATGTGGTGATGCTCAGAAAGCAGCAGGCTTATCCACAAGTTGTTTCCTGTTACCTTTCTGATCAGGGGCCGGTGGAGAAGCCGAGCTCAGTCCCTTCTGTCCCAGAGACATCTGAGCCCCAGGCCAGGGAGCTGCCATCTGGGGCAGGGGGAACGACCACCCAGCCAGCCGGCCAAGCCCGCCCAGCACCACACCTGAGCCCTTCCCTGTGGCCCGGTCAGTGGCTCTGGCCTTCGTAGCTATATTTCTCTCTCTTCTGGTCACAGGAAACGAGCTGCAGAGGAGGAGCCCTCAACCAGCGCTGCCGTGGCCGCCAAAAAGAAGCCCGGCCGGGGTTTTGGGGACTTCAGCTCCTGGTGATGGCCTCAGCTCGGGGCACCCTCTGGAGACAGATGCACTTCAGGGCCCGGCCAGCCTTGGCTCCAGGGAGTGGCCTGAAATAAAGTAGGATGTTTTTTTCATATGTGTCCCTGCTTGATCTCTGCCCCGTGTCACGTGATCTCCAGGGCCAGAGCTCCCTTGCCCCCACGGTCATCCGTGACGGACTCAGTTCTGGCTGGAGCAGTCTGCGCGTGACACAGAGCGGAAGGGCTGGGTCTTGTTGCATGATGGTCATGGTCCTCATAGAGCGAAAAGCCAGAACGTGCTGTAGAACCTCATAGAGATTTAAGGTCAGGCTGGAGATGGGCCTTCTTAAAAGCCCACTTCACAGGTACCGCAAGATTGGGAAGGCAGCAAGAAAAGATCCACAAGTCCTAGTGAACCACAAGCCCCAAATGAGTTAGTCATCAGGATGACATGGCTGTGATAAAACCCACTCCATCCCAGGCCCCTGTGGACAGCCCATGCAGGTGACCGACCTGTCTCTTCTGCCCCCGGCAGCTCAGACCACTGCCTGGGAATTGGGAAGGGAGTGGGTGGTGAGCTGGAGAGCATATTGGGGAAGGGCCGGCTGCATCATTGGCCAGCATCCCGAGGGGTCACACTGTGAGAGGCAGATCCCAAAGTTGTCCCGGCTGCCCTGGGAGAGTGGAGGCCCCATCCCTGGGGCCCCTCCAGCAAAAGCTGTGTGATGCAAGGAGGAGAATGTCACAGTCACTAGTCTGGACGGACACCTCGCCTCCATCCCAAGAGGGATGAGCCCCAGTGTCCCAGAGCATGGCATGAGGTGTAATGGGTACCATGTGCCCCCAGGGCAGCCCCTTCGAGTCCTGTGCCCCATTTCCTGGTTGTGAGCTGGGCTGGCCCAGAGGGAACAGAGCTGCTCTAATGAGGCCCCCAACTCTGACATTTGGGGTGCAGTTTGAGTATGCCTGGACCTTCCACCCCACCCATCCTAATCCATGATAGCTAGCCAAGTGCTCGAGGGGGCCTGGAAAAGAGGCAGTGCAAGGAGCAGGGGGGGCATGCCAGGCTCTGGTCGGGCAGATTGGGGTTCAGTGCCCCTCTGGCATGCTGGCTGCAGGCCATTTCCCTTGCCTGTGGGTTCCGGGCAGCTGCTGTTAATATATTACACAGGGGGCCTTGTATCAACAAAATCACACGTCAAAAAAAAAAAGTTAACAGACCAAATAAAGGGACTCATTATGTGTTACCGAAAGCTTTATTTTGATATCTGGAAGAATAGATCCAATCAAGCATAACCTCTAACAGGATGCTCAGTACCCACCGAACTGCAGAGCTGGCTGAAGCTACAGGCAAGGAGAAAGCTTTTGTTTAAAAAAAAAAAAAAAGTTTCATAACATTACAACCCAAAGTTAGAACAGTGAAGGGATCCAGCATTCTAGGCCTTCGGGTCACTGGGAAATGGCCAGTTCTGTGACAGCTGTGACATGGCCTGGGCTGTAAAGGGGCAGCCCACAGAAAGGCTCTACCATGACCCAAGCCTGCAGCCCCTGGTGACGCTGAGGATAGCAAGCAGACCACCAAAGGGCAAGGCCGGGGAAGGGACAGCCACAGGCTCCCCCTTCCATTAGACAAATGCATTGTTAAAAAAAAAAAATAGGAGCCTTGGTCCCACGTCCCCAGACGCTGGTTACAAGGCTCCCATGAGCACCGAGGACACACGAGTGCACCACGTCGGGGACACTGCAGCCAAGCTGGCCTAGGGAACGTCTCAGACTCGCTTTGATCGATTAAGAGATCAAAGGGAGGACCTTTTTTTTCAAGGTAGAAAAATAATGCATCTAAGAAAAGAAGCAAATCAAAGCAAGCTTAGGAACCAACCCCTTTGGACGAGCAGCTCAAGACAAACGCCACTGGGAAGCCTCGCCACAGCCCCCATTGTTCTCCAAGGATGTGAGTGTAAGACATAACTTCCTAGTAAACCCAAGACTTTAGATGCTGAAAACTGCCTGGTGAGGAGGCCAGGAAGCTTCCTGGGTGCCCCGCAAATCCTAAAAAACATTCCTGTACACGTCAGTATTTGGTAGCACTTCTTAGCTGTCAGACCCAGCCGGGAGAGGCCCCCTCAAGCCGCTCATTTGGTCCAAGGAGGAGGCTAGTGCCTGGCAAAATGCTGACACCAACAAATAATTGTAAAAGCTGTGGTCTCAATTATAAAAGAATGTCAGTGTTATGACCAATAGTATAAAGTGTGTGTGTGTGTGTGTCTACATACCACAGAGAAGACGGACAGTACAAGTCACAAAAGTGCTCACGTTGGAAGGGAAGTAAACTCACCCAAAACATATATAAAAACTTTAAATATAATCTTAATATATGTACAAAAATTGGTTAGAAGAAAAACACATCGTAAAATTCTCTCTTCAAGTAATGTTAAAATTTTTTGAAAACAGGCGCAGTAACCAGACTGGCCTCTTTCCCAAATCCCCAGAATCTGGATGCTCCCTCTGCCCGAATCCCCCATCAGCCGTCTGTGCTGCCTCTCTGGAACGGGATCTTTTCCAGGACTGGGAAAGGAAAGGCAAGAAAATGCCAGGATTCATTAGTGTTGATTAGTCATCTCCCCACACCAGTCAATGAACCAAGCTCCAGTGGGTTTCTCAGCTTGTGAGAGGCACTCTAGGCAGCTGCACGGGTCATCTCAAAGCTTCACAACGTGGTGGCAAGAGAATCCAGGTCATTGAGCCCTAAAACAGTTTAATATATTCTGAAGTACAAACAAATGCACTGAAACAAGGCTGCACGGAAAGCCGAGAGCCAGCTTGCCTTGGCTGGTCCTTTGTGGGCCAACATCCCGATACGTTGAGAGCTTTGAAAGGTTTTGCTGGAAATTTTCTTTACATTCAAAATTCAAGCATTTAAGAGGGTGGATGTCTTGGTTGTCTGGCTAGACATCTAAGCTAGCTTGTTGAGCGTGCTCCCACTCAGACCATCCAGTCTGGGAACCATTTGCAGGTCACTAGGCATGGCAGCCAATGACCTTCGTAAGATGTATGACTGGCCTAAAACACTTGGCCCCAAGGTCAAAGGGACCAAGCATCTCTCTCCCAACCTCTGTATCACCAGCTCAGGGGTCAGGGTTGGCACTGATCTGGTGCCATAGAAAGAATCCAGCCTATTAAAGCACAATTTGCCAATGCATTCTTTGCCCCGACTCATCCTGAGCTGTTCAGAATTAATTCTTCCAAACCACTTCCCCTCCCCCTTACTTGCAGTAGATATGCTGCCTGAACCACACACACAGTATTTGCAAAAGGCCCAGAGCTCCCAGATGACTGGGCAAGGCTCTTCCTAAACCAGGCATTTGGAGCCTCCTTCCTTTCCCGGCGTTCAATGAGATCAAATGCTAAAGGCAGGATGAGTCATTGGAGCTGGGAAGGGCCGGCATAGGCTTCCCTGGGATAAGGGCAGCTGCAGCAGCAAAGGCTCCAGACAAAATGTTGTTGTGCAGGTGGCAAAGAGAACAACGGGGGCTTCTGTGGACGTGGTGCCATCTCCCTGCAGAGGGACGGGCCGCTTGAGGATGAACACGGGAGCTGGGAGGTGATGGAGTTTTTCCTTGGAGAGTTTCACTCATCGACTGTGAAGGTGTGCACAGCCTTTCTGAGCCTTGAAAAAGGTGCCTGTGTACATCAATCCAGTTTCAAAGCAATTGGGGAGGAAAGGAGAAGGAGGAGGAGGAGGAGGAGGAGGAGGAGGAGGAAAGGGGGTGATTCCATATTAATTTTATTAGAAAAATGCTTCAGGGGATGATTTATCCAGCAAACCAAACACCCTTTTTATTTAAAATTTTTAAACTATCTTGTAATTTAAACTTTTGAAGAAAATTAAAATGAACAATTCTCAAGTACTTATAAAGGGTTTCCTATCTAGTCTGGCCCCTTTCCTATGTAAAAATAATCATCTTTGTTCAAGTACACCAAGAGTAAAATATTAATGCAGAATTTTGTTTCGTTTTGTGTTTTTTTTTTTCCCTTTGCTTTTTTCAGTGCATTAAACTCTGCCACCAGGGGGAGCCAGCCGGGAATAAGTTAGCACACTGGTGGTTCCCATTAAAGGTACCGCATCAGTATCCAAATGGAAGTGACGTTCCATGGTTTTCCCGGCAAGTATTGGCATGGAGGTGCCCGCTGTGGTTCAGCAGGCAGTGGCTTGAAACAACTTTCGGAAAAAGGCAGATGCTTCCATTAAATCTATCTCCTTGTTAACAGCCCACATAAAATACAACCAACATCCTCTGGATTTTTTTTGGGGGGGGGGAGATGAACAAAAAAAGAAACAAAATGAAGAGTAGGAAGGAGGCGGCGGGAGCGTGGCCGCCTCAGCGGCCCTCCTGAGCACCTTCACTGCCCTGCACTGGGGGCTGGGGTCTCTATCTGTCCCTGTCCTCCTCCCAGAGACTCCTGGCCACTTTCTGCTAGTCTTGGCCAGGGGTGTCCTAGGGACAAGCTCTAACAGCACAAGGTCACAGTAGGAAGTGACCAGGAAAGAGAATCCCCACTTAGTTCATTTGACCAGAGAGGTTTGAAAAAGTCTATTGGAAACCCCAGGTGACAACTGTCGGGCCGTCTTTGTCCACGGCAAGCCTGGGCCCGTCAGAGGTCCTTCGAGCTGGGCTTGTCTGCCTGGCCGAGGCGGGCCGGCGGGCTCCTGCTGCCTGCCCTCCGCTCACTCCCAACCATTGTCCTTGATCATGTGAGCTAACTCGATGATGAACTTTCCCTCCTTGTACTTCTGACTGCTCTCAAAGGCGTGTTCCTGGACAGGAGAAAGGAAGACAGGGAAGGTTGGGGCCACAAGCCATCCACACGTCCACTCTAGCAAGACATGACCACAATACCTGCTCTCTCCACGGCTTTCTCCCTTACACTCAGTTACACTGCAAAAAAGCTTCGGAAGACGAAAGCCTAAGACTACCCCCGACTGACAGAGCAGGAAACTGAGGCTCAGAGATCTAGGAAAGTGTAGCTGTATCGTTGTGCCACTAAGTTGCTCTGTGAGCCCAACTGAGTCTCTCTGGGCCTTGCCTTCCCCCTCCGTTAAAGGAGCCGACCCCAACTTCTCTTCCGACACAGAAGTTCGGCCTCAAGTCCAATGGATGACTCTGCTCCGGACTCTTCTCCTGGATTTTCTCTTCATTTTCCGCCTCCCTTGCAGCTTCCATTTAGGAGTTCTAGAATGTAAGCTCTCAGTGGGCAGGGGCTTGTAGCTGTATCTCCAGTGCTTAGCACAGCACCTGGCACAGAATAAGTGCTTAGTATTTAAATGCTTGTGGCTTGACGGGTAAGAGGCACAGGCAGAAGAAGGCCTGCTTCTGAGCCCCCGCTCTGAGTCTGTCAACAAGCTTCCTACCCAGGCCAGGCCTGTATTAATGCTGAGGATACGAAGAAAGGGGAAAAATTGTCCCTGGCCGCTTCTTAGTGGAAGAGACAACATGGAACGCCCAGGGTATACGAGACAGATACAGAGGAGCTGGAAGGGGAGTTGGGAGGGAAGACATGCACATACACTCTTCTGTACTGCCCTGGTGATGCAAGCTGTGCTTTGATAATCTCTACATAGATTTAAAATTGATTCACATCCCTTCATGATGCTTCCAGATATTTACAATCATTTCACAGGGATAAAACCTAAACTTGTTTCTATTTCAGAGAATTTCGTAGGACAGTTGGAGACTCTTAGATCTTAGAGCTCCTCATGGATTCCTCATTTGACATAGAAGGAATCTGAATCTTGGAGAGGCTAAATGACTAGCCGTCACTCACACAGCCCCGGGGGCAAGGTTGGAAGCCTCCAAGGCTGGAGGTCAGCCTGCTACATCATTCTTGCTTGCTTTGTTTCTCCAGTTAGATGGTAAGCCGCTGGAGGTCAGAGGCCAGGCCTTATACCTCTCTTTATGGATTCTCAGTCTTATCTAATGTCCTGCACATAACAGATTCTCAATCACTGTTTGAGGAAAATTGGGTCACTGCCCTGTGTGTATCTAGCAGCATGCTGAGCCCCAGATACTCTGTAGTGAATAAAGAAGCAAACACCACACCCACCAGTCACCTGAAGCAACGATTTGCGCCTAGGTTTTCCCCTCTTAGGCATGGGGTGTGGGAAGCCATGTCACCCTATCCATGAGCATGAGCTCAGTCTTCTTCCACCTTCTGATGTATGTGGGAGATCCTCAGGCCTTGCAACCTGCCAACTTAGGAAGTCTGTAGGCATCAAGGTGGCACAGTGGATAGAGTACCTGGGCCTGGACTCGGGAAGATCTGAGTTCAAATCTGGCCTCAGACACTTCCTAGCTGTGTGACTCTGGGCAAGTCACTTCACCCTATTTGCCTTGGTTTCCTCATCTGTAAAATGAGCTGGAGAAGGCAATGGCAAACCACTCTAGTATCTTTGCCAAGAAAACCTCAGATGGGGTCACAGAGAATCAGAAACAACTGGAAAACGACTGAACAACAACTTAGTAAATCCCTTCCTCTCTCTGAGCCTCAGCTTTCCTCACCTATAAAATGAAGGCCTTGAACTCAATGAATTCAAAGGTCCAGCCTCGAGCCCTACATGATCCTGGGTATATTTTCTGCCTTTTCGGGAGGCAGCCCTTCAAACACTTTGATATCAATTGACAGCTGAATATTAGTTGTAGCTGTGTGTCTGAAGTGTATGAATATACCCCATAGAGTTTTATTTATTCCCAAAGAAACTGTATCTACAAGTATTTTTTTTCTTTAGCTGATGGGATCTACTTTGCTTTCAGAAATAATATTTTTAAAAAATCATTATATTGATCCATATATTCTTATCTATTACATATACATATACTGCTACATACATGAAATGCTTCATCACAACCTGCCCCAGGGAGCCCCAGAGTCCTTAATAAAACTCATCTCATTCAGGTGATTACTTACATATTTCCAACCCAGAGTGGTTTTACAGTTTTCACAATAGATATCTGCTACGGCATGTAAGCCAGTGAGAAGGACCCTCTCCTCTGCTGGGCCACAGCCCACATTTACCCTGCAGGAAAAGGGAGAAGGCTTATGAGCATCACAGAGTTTTCTGAATAAAACTGACTTTGAAGAAGACAGCATTCAGCAATGGGGATTATGGGATTCAACAGAAGGGGAGATAGTGAGACTCTGAATTACAGACTTGTTTAAATCGCCTCCTGTGTTTAGTTTGATGTCAGAATCAGGCCCGTGTAAAATCCGGTACCCAGAGGCTGGCACGTGGAGGGAGAAGCAGCTGCTAGGAGATGCCACAGACAGAAGGGAGACGGGATTTGTAACGTGGGTGGCCCGGAAAGACCACTGGACCAGGAGGAATCGACTCCTCTGTGGACTTTCTTTGGCCTGTCTGGAAGATGTCTTCCAGCACACCTCGTGGGCAGCGTGGTACCTGGAGCTGGGGGGGGAGGGGGAGCCTGGCACATAGCCCCCATTAAAGAGCGCTTGTTGGCTACCTTATGCTAGCCATGCCCATTTGCTCAGTCTCTTTATCTGCCATCGATTTGAATGATTCTTCATGACCTGCCAGCTCACTGGAACTCTACAAATTCAGTCTTACTCTGCCTGACTGGGTTCTTCTGTCCCTATAAAACGTTTTCCCTTTGGTCTTGGCTTTGGACCAGCTTGGTGTAGGGCCATCATGGTATTCTGGGAAAAATATTTAGTTGTAAACTGCCTTGCTGGGATCTGAGCAAACTCCTCCAGCTTTGGGACCCTCCCCCCAAACTGGGTGGGGGTGGTTTGTGTGACTCAGCTTGTGGGGAGCAAAGCCTTTTGCAACCTCCGACTGCTACACACGGGGCTGCCCCAGTTCTTCACTTTCAAACATGGGCAAACGAAAGTAGAAAGATTTGCACTTGATCACAAACAAGCCCAAATGCCTCAATCTTCGGACAGGTCTGGCTACGTTTCCGACGAGAATTTTCTAAGTGGAATAAGAACACTATGGCAAGGAGGTTCCGGCCCCTCTCCAGCCTCGGGCTCTCCTCTAGGGCCTTCTGGGCATGGGTCCCTCCTTTTAATCCCACTTACAGACCTTGGAAGATGGGGAACTTCCTTCCACCCGAGGGGGGTGTGTCACAGAGAGTGGAAAAATAATAATAGCAACAGCAACAATAACTAACATTTACATAGCACCTACTATGTGCCAGGTCCTGTGCCAGGCACTTTACAAACATTATCTCATTTGATCCTTACAACAACCCTTCTGTTATTATCCGCATTTCACAGATGAAGAAACTGAGACAGAGTGACTTGCCCTGGTGGCATCTAGGAAGTGAGACCAGATCTGGCTGACCCCAGGCCCAGAGCTCTAGCCACTGGACCACTTTGCTGCCAGGGAGGGATCCCCACACATCAACAATTGTCCTCGTCTTTATGGCCGGCAGGGGCTAATTTAGCAGTCAGATCACACGCATGGCCCTGTGGGGTCCTCAGCCTCTCTGTCCAACTGTGGTCGCACCTGGGCCCCCACTTTATGACCTTGTCTCGAGTTTTCACGTGCCTCATCCTGGTCCTCAGCAGGGCACCGAGTCCTGGGGTATAACTGTGCGGCCTGATCTCTGCCCTCCTCCACACTGGGAGGACCAAGATGAAGCCAGAAAAAGGACAACGGTCAAAGTCCAGTCAACTTTATTGACTGGAAGAAGCCTGCTCATGCTTTAGGATTCCAGAGAGGGCCAGACCTCATCAATTCAGATTTTCCCTGAGCTGGAAGGGAGCTCCGGCAGCCTCCTCAGCCCAGGGTCCCCCAGCGACAAGGAGAGGGTCTTGTGAGAATCCAATGAGATAATGTCAAGCACTCTGTAAACCCCAGATCACTATATACTTCATCATCATCGTTGTCATCCTCAGTCTGGGGTGGGGGACACATTTACTATTCTTACTGTCATTTAATAGTTTTGAGCCTCAGTTTCCTCCTCATGCCACCTTCCTCACAGAGCAGTGATCAAATGATCATTAAGTTTTTTACACACAAGAATGCCAATGATTTTTATAGACAGGGACAGCATTTCAGAACTTTTTTTTTTTGTACAGGGAGAAATTGAGGTCCAGATGAGGTGAAATGACTTGTCCCAGGTCACTGGTCTGACCCAATGTTTCCTCATTAGAATTGAGAATTATTTAATACAAGCTTAACCAAGGAGAGGTGTGTGGCTCAGAGGCTCAGTTCCATTACCAAACCTGGGTACCAAGCCATCCCAACCTTGGAATCATTGAACAGCAGAGGTGGGAAGGCCCTTAGAAGGGATCTAATCCAATTGCCTCCTTTTGTAGGTGGGGAAAGTGAGGGCTGAGAAGGGAGACAATTGGTCTCATTTCTAGGGAGTCAGAGACAGTGAAGCCCAGAACAGGGCTCCCGTTCTCTCAATCTTTCCACCCAAGAATGCCTTTGGTTTTTGTTTTTGTTTTTGTTTTTTTTCAGAATAACCTCATTTGCTCAGGTAATGCAACACATGTGCCCCTTTCTCATCTCAAAAACACCTGCCTTTGGGCCTCGGAGACACATTTTGCAGGATGACTGATTCTGAGAATGAATCAAGGGTGTGACCAACAAAGACTGAAAAGACTTGTCATCATTGTCTCAAAAAGTCCCAAAGGTCCTTGTCACTCTGGAAGCATGTGTGTGTCCTAGGAGTCACCGGGCTCTGCCAGGGCCCAGCACAGCCTCTGCTCTCACTCAGTGCAAGCATCCTTCCTGGGCACAGAAAGCACTGGCTTCTGTCTGCTTCAGGAATGATGCTGCCATCGACAGGCCCAAGGGAATCTCCGAATGGGAAGGAGAAAGGGACCCGAGGTCGACCCCACTGAGTCCAATCGCCTCTTTTTATGGAGAAGACCACAGGCTAGCGGAGAAACGTGAACTGCTGATGGTCACACAGCATCTGCCAGAACACAAACGTCTGCTGGGAAAACAGCTAGACTGAAAGGATGATTTTTGTTAAGGTATTTCTTCCATTCTTTTAAACACACAGTTCTTGAATTTCACAGCACTTTTGCCCAAAGAAAGAGGTGAAACAATTTTCAAATCTGGTCTGATATCAGAGCCTAATTCGGACCAGAGAAATTAGAGACACGGAAAAAAGCGAGTGAGATCTGAATTTGTAGCCAATGAATAGCCACCCAGAGGGCCTCATTTCTGAAGCTTGGCCATTAGGTGAGGGACTGTTGGTCCCTGGAGGCCCATGAATAAGTACCAGTTTTAGTAGACTTCATGGCCAAAGACACACCAAGTCAATCTGGTGGTAGGATCCTGCCACTTGCCACTCCTAGATCAGCCCTAGACCGCGTCAGCCAAGACGTGCATTGTGAATCTGACTGATGTTCCAGGCTAGGCTGAACACAAGCTTATATTCCAGGCTTGATCCTAAGACCATGAGCCCCTTAAGGTCCCTCAGTTCAGTGAAGAATATGGACGCTCTCAGGGCTCGGTGATTTTTAAGGCAGATGCAAACCCTCAGCTGAGGGGGGAGCAAAATCCCAGGCCAACTCCAGTGAGAAGAAAATACAAGACTACAACCCCTTGTCGTGGTGTGGGTGAGGATTCTCATATGATGCTCCCTGTCCTTAGGGAGTTTGTCTTAAAAAACGTTAGAGCTTGGTCACTAATCATGTGACCTTCAGCAAGTTCCTTCTTTACCCCTCCCTGAGCCTCAGTTTCCTCCTTAGCTACCCACCTCCCAGGGCAGCTCTGCTCCTCCACCACCTCCTCCTGGCACCAGGCAAGCCTGGAGGCTTGTCCCAGTGACCACAAGCTCTGGCAGGTCCTATAAGCTTTGGAGAGGGGCCCGGGGATGGACTGTGTCCCCCCCACCAGGGGATGAATCCTTTTGGCCCTGGCCACTTCTAAAGGCTCCTTAAACACAGAGGGGTTGGGATCTAACTAGTGAAAGGCATGTGGCACCCGAGGACAGCACAGATCTTTGACGGGATAGACCGGAGGGAAGGTAGATCCCAAACCTTACAAATGGTCACGTTCTCTGGGAAGTTCTAAAATGGAAGGGAAAATCATACAGACCCAGAATTCCCCAGCAGACCTATTTTGTGGCCCATCTTAACTTCTAATAAATTTAAAAACTATCAAATGAATACACAAAACAATTAAGAGATAATCTGACATGGAATCGGAGAAAACTGCTGGCAAAGAAGGATACGCCACAGATACTTACACAGAATTAAAGAGGTAGGCTCGTCCCTGGCTTCCCTGAAAAGACTGCAAAGAAAAAGCCAATACAATCTTTTTAAAAAAAGTGACCAAAAAGTTGTAGAATCAATTTAGAATAGGTGAGTTCTAGGGAAGGGAAGTCTGTTGATTGGTTATTTCCATTACACGAGACTCAGACAAAACCATTTCCAGAAGTGGGCCTGGGCCCTGACCCCCACCGTCCCCCTTCTCCTAACTGCACTCAGCCTCCTTCCTGCAGCTGACGCAGTCCGGCCTGGGCACTTCATGTTTGTTGGATGAATTAAACTTTTGACCCTGAATTTCAGAACTACAGGTGTTCTCTATTTCAGGGAGTGGCTCAAGGTTTAGTTGAGATGCATGGACATATACATATCAATATACATATTTTAAAAATATATACAGATATGTATATACTAAAAAACTAAAACCAAACTGACAAGAAACAGCGTGGTGACACAGCTAGAAGGCTCACCTCTGAGCCTCCTGGCTGACCCTGGACAGCGCCCTTCGCTCAGGGCCCCAGGCCAGTCTTTGAGACTACTGGCTACAGAGGAATTGCTGTCCAGCAATCAGCAGAGGGAGTTCCCATACCAGAAGTTCCTTATGCTAATGGAATCACAACTCTGGATTAGAAAATGGATTGGGGCTAGAGGCATCCAATCTACCATCCACACCTCCCTCCTTCCTCCCCCTCCTCCACACGTCTGATAACTTTTCACAAACCCCTCTGGCATCGCCAGCCACAGAGCCTGTGGGGCAGGCTTTTCACAATGGGCTCACGGAGCTGGGTCAGAAGTTCTCATTCAGAGGACAGAGTACCAGGCCTGGGAATCCCCAGTCTGGACAGCACACGGCCATTAGCTACAAGTCTCCTGGGATTTCAAGCCTTGGGGGGGCTTCCTGGGGGCTTGAGGCTTGATCTTGATGTACCAAAGGCAGCTGTGGGGGAGTCCCAAGTGCTCTCTGCTCTGCTGCTAGGACACGAGATCGAGCAGGGACCTTTGCCACTTGATAGCTATGGGACCTTGGGGAAGTCCATTTACTGAGCTAAAAGGTAGGTCCCTTCAGCTATAAAATGGGGGTAAGAATCCTTAGACTGCCCCTACTTGACAGGATCAAATGAAAGAATGAATGCCCATGGACTCTGAAAGTGAATCCTCTGATTCTGTTTTATGGGGTTTTGATGGCACCTGGGGTAAAGGTCTTTAGCACTAGGGGGTGCTTAATGCCAGGAACTCGGTACCCACATTTGGGGTTTCCCAAGTGCTTCTGTTCATTCAATAATGAATAATCGCAGGAAGTTGTCAGAGACTATGAAGCTATCTTCACTCCCTAAAGCAAAAACCACCATTTTAACGGAATGGAATGGTTTTTAACTCTACACACACACACACACACACACACACACACACACACACACACTCGGGCAGGCAACTGCTTCACCTTCTGGGGGGCTCTGTGGCCGAATCAGTTTTCAAACCTCATTCAGAAATTACGTTATTCTTCATCAGCTCTAAGCATCCTCTTCCTTTGGAGGAGAGCCCATAAATGAGGCGCCGCTCCCAGGGGCCACTTCTCATCCCCATTGTGGCCCCGGCTCCTGGATTTGCGGCTTCCTTCCAAGTGGGGTGCCAGAGCAGCAGAACTAGGCACCAAGATGTTGGGAAAGGGAGCCTTTCCTCTTAACGATAGGAATCTCTGAATCACTGAGGATTTGCACTATCACAAGCACTTGGCATCTTTCCTAGACTAATATGGGAGGTGCCTGGGGCACGGAGAGTGATTTGCCCAGGACCACACAACCCTTATGTGAGAGGAATGACTCGAATCCAGATCTCCCTGAGTCAGGTCGACCCTCTATCGTCCACCCCACGCTAGTTCTTTATATAGGTCAGGAGCAACGGAGGCACAGAGCAGCTCTTGTGCCATATGACCCATCCACTCCCAATTCTGCCTCTGTCTGTTAACAACACCAGATGTGAACCTCCTCCAAACCTGTTATGGCCCCATTTCATCCATTTTGCTCGATCACTGTTGAAGCTCTTTTTGCCATCTTTTAATGATAATAATATTACATAGCGCTTACAGTACCAGACACTTTGCTAAATGCTTTACAAATAATATCTCGTTTGATCCTCACAACAACCCTGGGAGGTAGGGGCTGTTATTATCCCCAGTTTACAGATAAGCAAACAAAGGTGAAGTGACTTCCTCACCTAATCAAGTCCCACAGCTACTGTCTGAGGCCAGATGTGAACTCAGACCTTCGTGACCCAGCACAAGATCCACATCCCTGCCCAGCCCAGGTGGTTCATTTTCTAGGACCTGACGTGACCTCAGGCAGGTCCCATCCCCTCTCCTCTTCTCTAAGATGAGAGGGTTTCCACTAGATGATCTCTCTCTGAAGCCCCTTCCTGGCGTACATCTGTAATCCTACGAAGAGGCAACCTGCTATCTGTGCAACATCCACCTTCTTCAAGTTTCAGCGTTACATTTTACCTTCTGGGTCCACCTCACCTAGTCTTGCATGGACTTAGAGACTTAAAGCAATTAAAAAGTAGGTTTCACCTCTGGAAAAATGAAGACTGAAGGTTCTCCCCATAGGCTCTGGATTATGGGAACTCCCCTCTGCAACCATGTTCTGCTCTAGAAAGTGCCAAGAGAGAGTGTGATGTATGTGATGTATACAGTAACAACAACACTGTAAAGGAAAACAATTCTTCAAAGTCTTAATAGCTCTCGTCAATGCAATACAAACACCATTCTAAAGGACCAGTGAGGAAGCCCACCAGTCATCGCCTCAGCGTGGGATGACAGACTCAGGGTGCAGAATGAGTCTTTGTTCGAGTGTGCTGATAGGATTTTTCTTGTCTTTTTCCATGGGAAGGATAGAAGGGGAAGAGAGAATAACGATTGATAGTGTTGCAAACAACAGAAACAGAAGCAGAAACCGAGACAGAGGGTCACTGAAACGTCTAAACAAATCCTCAGATGAAAAGTTCAGAAAGAGACAGATAGCCCCGGGACGGCTTGGAAAAGCGAGCTGCATGTCACAGAGACATCCTCTTTCTTTGTTCTGCTCTGCACACAGAAAATACTCATTTTGGGGAGCGTCCGTTAAGTTCAGAAAGGATCCTTTAAAAAAAGACCGTATACCCGGACTCAGAGAAGCTGCAAACAGACGTCAGAAATTTAACCATCGACGAGCACATGATGGGGGCCAAGATCTGCACGAGCGGAGAAGGGCCACAGGGATCAAAGGTCTCCAGAAGCTTCTGAAATACTAAAGAGGAAAACAATGTCCATGGAGCTTAGAATGCCCCAGGCTCCCGCCCTGCCGGTTTAGTGTTTCTGTGCCTCTGTTTGCCACGTCTTTGCCCAGATCGTCCCCATTTCCTGGAGCGTGGTTCCCTTTCCTCTCACGATCCAAGTCATAGTCACCATTCAAAGCCCACCTTAAATCTCACCCCTTCCATGAAGTCCACAGTGACTTCTCCTTCTTTTCAAATTAAATTTTATTTTTTTCAACCATCAAAAATCCACCTTCTTTCTCACTCCCTCACCCCCAATTGAGGAAGAAAAACAAAACTTCCATTACAAATACAGTCAAGCAAAACAAAGTCCTGCATTGGCCATATCCAAAAGATAAAATGTCTCAATCTTCACTCTGATCTGACCCTTTTTGTCAGGATGTGGACAAATATGTTTCATTATGCCAATTGGAATTCCTGAGTCTTTCAAAGTTGTTTTTATGATATTGTCACTGTATAAATTGTTCTCCTGGTCTTGTTAACTTTGCTCTGTATCAGTTCATACGAGTCTTTCCAGGTTTTTCTGAAACCACCCCCTTCACTTCTTATAGCACAATAGTATTCTGTCACATTCATGCACCACAACTTGTTCAGGCATGCTCCAATTGTTGGGCACCCCTTTGGTTTCCAATTCTTTGCCAGTGCAAAAAAAGATTTGCTATATTTTTGGACATCCTTATTCAGAGTTTGTTTGCTTAGGACCAATTAATCCTTAACATGCCCTCCCCTCATATTCCCTCTTCTTCCCTTTTGAGTCAAATCTGTATTTCTGTAGCCAACTAGTACAGTTAAAGGGTCAGTCCTCCCCCCAACACTTTCCCCCTCGTTTGCATAGTCTTCTACTTATGCATCCCAATTATGTGAGATAATTTTCTCTAATCTTCCTCTCCCTTTCTTCACCTAGTATATTCCTCTTCCCCTCCTTTCCCATTCTTCTTTTAAGATAATCAAAAAATAACAGAAACATTTCCAGGCTTTCTGTCTAGATTCCTTCTAAGGCTCCTGATGATGGCAAGGTTCAGAGAAGATCATGTGTCATCTCCCCATATTAGGAGGAGGTAAACAATTTATCCTTTAGTCCTTTATGATTGTTCATTCACGTATACCTTTTTATATTTTTCTTGACTCGTGTATTTGCACTTCAAAGTTTCTACACAGCTCTGGTCTTTTCATCAGGAAGTCATCTGTTTCATTAAAGGTCCATTTCCCCCTCTATGCTGAGTTTTGCTGTATTCTTGGTTGTAAGCCTGTAGATTTCTGGAATATCATATTACAAGCTCTCCACTCCTCCACAGCGGTGGCTGCTAAGTCACATGTAATTGACTGTGGCTCCTCAGTGCTTGAATTCTTTCCTTTTTTCCCTAGGTATAGTTTTTATTTCGTAATCATAAACTTAACTCTTCAATCTAGCCAGACTTTCAGAAGGAAGACAGAAATGAAATCCAAAAAACTGTAGCAAGTGAGTGCACAAAGATTATGAGAACAGACAGGATTTGGGGGTGCCCCCCCTACAAGCTACACAGGAATGGTTTGGTGGTTAAGACAAAAAACCAGAATAAAACAAGGCCAAAAAAAACACCTTATGGGAGTTGTCTAGTCATCACTAGTGATGTTGATGTGGACTTGCTATGCTTGCTATGTGTTCCATGGCTTCCGTGATATTTATGCTTTCTTTCACCTTGTCAAAGACCAAGTGCCTGCCATCCAACCCGTCAG